CAAATGAGGCCTCGGGGGAGGGAAGGACAGAAGGAAGGAGGGAGGGAGGGAAGGGCTGTCTGGCTGCTTTATCTAGCCCCAAAATCATGCCGCCTTTACAGAGAGTCCTCGACATACGACCACAATTTGAAACCCAACATTTCTGCTAATAAATGGGATATTTAAGTGAGCTTTGCCCCGTTTTACGACCTTTCTTGCCACCGTTGTTAAGTGAATCGCTGCTGGTAAGGTAGTAACCCAGTCGTTAAGTGAATCCGGCTTCCTCATTGACTTTGCTGGTTCAGAAGGGGATCACGACACTGCGGCTGTCGTAAATAGGAGCCAGCTGCTAAGTGTCTGAACTTTGATCACATGACCATGGGGGTGCTGCAACGGTCATTAAGTGTGAAAAACGGTCAGTAGTCCCATTTTTCAGTGCCGTTGTAACTTCAAACGGTCACTCAACGGTTGTAAGTTGAGCAGCACCTGTACAGGGATGGGGGAGGGAGGCCAAGATGGGGTTTGCATGCCCACACACAGGCAGGGCTTCTAGGGTCTCAATCTTGGGCAGGGGGTCCCATCCAGTCCTGTGACTCTGTCATCTTCCTGGGAGATGCCACTCGTGGCACCCCAAAACTGGCAGCCCCGGGTTCAGAGGAGCATGGGGTTTCCCTCTGCAACCCCAAGACTGAGCCAGGGCTTCATTCATTCATTAGCAATTAATCCGAGGGAGGGGATGGCTTCCCTGCAGAAGCCACTGGAGGTTTTCAAGGAGAGACTGGGGCCAGGGGCTCCTGCTTGGAAGGGGGTGGGCTAGAAGACCTCCAGGGGCCCTTCCAGCTCTGGGCTACGGTCCTCTGGGGACCTGAGAGCGGCTGGGGAATTCGGGGACTTGAAGTCCGCCCATCTTGAAGTTGCCAAGGTTGGGAAACACGGCAGAAACATTGTATAAAGTGCAGGATGGAGAGAACACGGGAACTCGGAGAAAGTGTAGCAAGCGCTCCGATATCCTTGCAGCCGGCCGGGGCGCAGGGTGGGGGCAGTCAATGCCCTGCATTTGGGGGTTCGGGGGCTCCGTCCGGCGGGAGGGGAAGGGGCTGCCGGGCTCCCCGCTTTGTGCCCTCCTGCCCGGGACGCAGCCCGTCCTTCCCTTCCCCAGCCGAGAATTGAGCCTTTCCCGGCCGGGCGCCTTCGCCCGGGACCGCCCCAGCCTTCCCGCCCGGCCGCACGCAAGATCCCTTCCCGGGGTCGCGTTCCCACGAGACGCGGGTTCCCGCCTCGGCCCACGTGACCGCCGAACGCGCCGCGACCCACGTGACTCACCCGCTGGAGGCTCTTCATCACATCTCCCGGCGAGGGGGAGGGGGCGCGAGAGGGGCGGGGCCGGAGAGGAGGAGGAGGAGGAGGAGGAGCAGGCCGCCCCCTCGGCGGAGCGCGAGCCCGGGCGGGAGAGCGCAGGCGCGGCCGCTCGCGCCGTTGGGGCCCGAGAGGGGCGAAGGAGCCGAGTCCACCGCGTCGTCCGGGACAGAAGTGCGAGAGTTGACCCCGCGCGCATGCGCCGCCTTTCCTCCCTTTCCCCCCCCCCAGCTGCCCCTCTACGCCGGCCGAGCCATGCGCAGGCGCCCATCGGCTGGCTCTCCCCGTACACCCCCACGTTTCCTCCTGCCGGGAATCCTGGGAAATGTAGTCCGTCTGGCCGGGGGAGGGGTTGGAGGGCACCCACGTATCCATGGGGGTACCGAGACATGACCTCAAGGGGAGAAAGAGGGCAGTTCCCAGCTCTTCCCCCTCCTTTGTGGGGTCAGCTGCAGCACCCGGGGGTCAAGGAAGGGAAGGCCTGGAGGAGGGGGGGCATGACACGTGTCTCTGCCAAGGGGGGGCCCTGTGTCCTCCCAGCCTTCCCTTTCAGTCCTGAGGCTTGTGGGGGGGGGTCCCCTGCGGTTGGCTGAGAAGCCGAATAATTTGCAGCGGCTGTTGGAGAGATTGTGCAATGCAACAGTAGACAGATTAACAAGAGTTGGAAGGGACCTTGTAGGTCATCTAGTCCAACCCCTGCCCAAGCAGGAGACCCTATGGCCTCCCTACACCATTTCTGACCGATGGCAGTCCAGTCTCTTCTCGAAAGCTTCCAGTGATGAAGCTCCCACAACTTCTGAAGGCAACTTCTGTTCCATGGGTGGATTGTTCAGAAAATGACTCCTTATTTCTAGGTTGAATCTAGGACCTCGTAGGCCGGGCAGGGAAAACGCAGAGGCCGCTCTGGGAGCCTGATTTGCCTGCCTTGGAGGACTGGGAGCAGAGGATGGGAGTCGGACACTGGGAGACCCACCCAAAAATCAGAGCTTCTGATCAACTCGGGGCAACGGCCATGGTGGGTAACCTGCAGGAAGAGAGACAGGTTGGGCTACGGGGGGCACCGATCGGAAGGACTCCTCACTCACAAATGGTGTGAATGAAGGCAAGGAGGTTTGCAGGCAGCACTTAAGACTTTGGGAATGTCTCCAAAAGCATGCTGAGATGATTAGGGGGATGGAGGATGAAACATACGAAGGACGGTTGCAGGAATTTGGGTAGGTCTAGTCTAGTTATGAGATGACTAGGGATGACTTGATAGCAGCCTTCCAATATTTGAGGGGCTGCCCCAAAGAAGAGGAGGAGGTCAACCTATTCTCCAAAGCTCATGAAGGCAAGACAAGAAGCAACGGATGGAAACTAATCAAGGAGAGAAGCAACCTAGAACTAAGAAGAAACTTCCTAACAGTGAGAACAATTCATCAGTGGAACGACTTGCCACCAGAACTTAAGGGTGCATCATTGGAGGCTTTTAAGGAGGGTTTGAACAGTCTGAATTGGTTTAGGCTAGGGTCTCCTGCTTGAGCAGGGGGTTGGAGTAGAACAGGGGTCTCCAACCTTGGCAACTTTAAGCCCGGAGGACCTTCAACTCCCAGAATTCCCCAGCCAGCTTTGCTGGCTGGGGAATTCTGGGAGTTGAAGGTCCTCCGGGCTTAAAGTTGCCAAGGTTGGAGACCCAAGACCTCCAACGAAGCAGAAAGTCCTCGAAACGTTTTGCTTGGATAAAAGGAGGAATCAGGAGTGGCTCTGGATTGAGGGAAGGGGAGGCGAGTGCGAATCCCTGTGAAACGTGGGCTGTTTGCAGAGGGCTCTGGAGAACTCTAGCAAAGAAAGCTGAACGAATGTTTCTTTCCTTCCCTTTTCTGAGTCTTACCAACCGCCCGGCTTCGTGTTGTTCTACGCACCCCTGACTCATCTTCCCAGCACGCTGCGTAATGTGGCAGAGCCGACAGTGAGGTGGATAGAGAGGGATCCAAACAATAGGATCTCCCTGTCCTGTTTGGATAGCCTACCGTATAATTACCTCCCTCCATAATGCCATGTTTAATTAAACCCGGGACTAATTAACATCCTTCTGAAAGATGTCCGTCAGCAGTCAGCTCGGCTGGGTTCTCCAGGGTGCCCACGCTCTTGCCCAGCTCCCGGCAGCCTTGGGAGGCAAAGGCTGGGGGGGGCAGGAAGGGTCCTGGGCAGCTGCTCTGGGCACCCAAGAGAGGCACCTATGGTGTTGTGGGGCTGGGCGGGCAGAGAGTGGAGTAGAGAGGCCTTGGCCTGACCCTCCTCAGCGCCCTGTTTTCTTCCTGAGCTCCGGGGCCTCTGAAGCAGGAAGATGGCACTTTGCCAGGGCAAGGGAGACAGCCGGGCAGCACTTTGCTGGCTGCCTGGCGCTGGAGGGGCAGGGAAGGCTTGGCGTTCCCTCTGCGTGAGAGAGCTTGCCAAGAGAAGGAGATAACATGGCCACACCTTCCCAATTTCCCTGGCTCCGTTTGGGGAAGTTTCTCTAAAGAGAACGTGCAGGCAGGCAGTTCATTTAATGACTGAAGTTACTGCAAAAAGCGACTGTCCCGGGGGGGTGGGGGGTGTCACATGATAATGGGGGAGTTGGGTTCACTTAATAACCATGTGACTAACTTCACAAGTGCAGTGATTCACTTAACAACAGTGGCAAGAAAGGTTGCAAAATGGGGCAAGTCACTTAAGAAATGTCTTGCTTAGGAACGGAAATGTTGGGCTTAGTTGTGGTTATAAGTCGAGGACTACCTGTGGACAGCCAAGGCCTTAAAAGCAGCTCCTGTGCCATTTTCAGTCATCTTCTTTTAACGACCCCATAATCCCTTTTGGGGTGAAGTCTGGGCAACTGAACGGACCTGAGTGTTTCCTGGCCGGATGCCCTTCCTGTTGTCAGTGCGGAGTTTTTTTCAGCAGATATATTCTCAGTGTGGCCAGAGAGAGAGAAATATCTGCCTCTACCTAGGATCTTTTGCCAGTTTCAATGTCGCCCCCAAAATTAACAGGCAAAATCGGTCCATTTCACGTGGTGTATAACTGTGCAAGCTTCAAACCGATGTATATCCGGAGAGGCCCAACCCATTTGGATCAGAGCTTCCTCTCCAGTACGGCTGTGCTTCCCCCAAACAGATTCCACCCCACAAAAAAAATAAAAATTCAGGAGCGCAAATTCACATCTCTTGCTTCTTTCAAGCTGCGTGTTCGCGATCAAACTATAGGCCAGATAAGAAATTACAAGTTTGATTATGTCGAGTTTGGTTTGGGAAATAATTGCTTTGAATCCACTCTCCCGCACCCCGATGCCGGGATTGAGTTGGGGAGGGGGGGAGGTCTGTGGCTGAGACCTGGCCTCTCTCTTGCAACTCACCCCGTCTTTGGAAGGGAAGTGGGGCACAGCCAGGGCTCCCTCGGAAAGCCTGCAGAGCAGCCGTGAAGGGCAGAGAGAACCGTCTCCGGTGTGTTTTGGAACCCGAGGAAGGCCGGCTGTGGCAGAGCAAACGGAGGCCGCTTTCAGCAACCCGTAATCAGGGCAGAGCCATGGGTTCAGCTCTTGGCACAGGCGGGGGATCCTGTGGGTGCAGAGTGGGTCGGTGGCCTTTGGAGGGGAGCAGCAGGTGGAGGCAGGTCCCAGCTTTTGGCACACACACAAGACAAATCCCTTCAATTTTCTTCAATTCCTCTTTATTCCCTATCAGCGTAACCTTCATCCGGAGCAGGGGCGCCTCCTTCTCGAGCGACGGGGCAGCTTCCGTCCTGCTCCTCAGTGGCTTTCGTGCAGCAGCTGCTGGTGTTTCCGCCTGTCTCGCACAATTTTCCACAGCCGCAGCCGGATGATGTGAAGCACTCCGGAGACATCGCGCAACAGCGTCTCCTCCAGCTGGGCGTCGGGGTCCGCACCCGCATCCTCAGCCTGCAAGGGGGAAGCGCAGTCGTGGCCCCACAGCCAGGTCCCCTCCAGCCTGGCGTCAAAGCTTCACTCGGGGGGAAATCCAAAGACTTGGCCCTGAACGTGGGGGGCCCTTAGTAAAGCGAAGGGCCTACCTCTGGGGTGTCTCCAAAGAGGGAGAGGAGGCTCCTGTCTTTCAACCAAGATGAAATGGGCGCCAGGGGCCAAGCCCGACCTGTCGCTGCCTGAAACGGGGGAGATGAGAATGGAGATTTGGGTCGAGGGTGGTGGGATTCCTTTTTCTTGCCACGGAAGACGCCACAGGGACCCCTGCAGCTGAAAAGAGGCTCCTGGGGTGATTTGGGCACCCCCTGGATTTGCATGAACCCCACTGACTCCCTTCTATTGTTTCCCACCCTCCACAATGCGCTTGGCCGGTCCCCACCTGCTCCGTCACGGGTCTTTGCACCGTCTTGGTCTCTCTTTCAGGTGCTTTTCCAAAAGGCAACTGGGATTTGTTGGGTTTTTTCTTTGAAAATTCTTCGCTTCTCATCCCAGAGATTTCTTCGGTTCAGTTCTTTAACAGATGAACAGAGTCGGAAGGGACCTTGGAGGTCATCTAGTCCAACCCCCCACCCAAGCAGGAGACCCCTACACCGTTTCTGACAGAGGGCAGCCCAGTCTCTTCTTGAAAGCCTCCAGGGATGAAGCTCCCACAACTTCCGAAGGCAACGTCCGTTCCATGGGTCGACGGCTCTCACGGTCAGAAAGTTTCTCCTCATTTCTAGGCTGAATCTCTTCTTGGATGAGAAGGAAAACTTTTTCAAAGAGAAACCAAGGAAGTCCAGTTGCCTTTTGGAAAAACACCTTTGGGACAACCAGGACCTGAATGACGGAGAAGCTCCAGAGACCTTCAGATGTGTTGTTGACACCAGCAAGGGGGCCAAGAGGGGCTGGGGGGGGGGGGGGGGCGGCCGGGGGGGGGGGCGGGGGGGGGGGGGGGGGGGGGGGCGTCCTGACCAGGAGGGTCCTCTGGGGAAATGATGGGAATGGTGGTGGCCCCCACAAAGGGTCCCTGAGGTGCTGGACAAAGGCTGCCGGAACCTGGCTGGGGTCTGAGTCCACCCTTCCCAGCTGGTCTGACCTCAAGATTGACTGACAGCAGGAGAGCTGCCACCTGGACTCCTTGTGGCCCCCCATAAATCGGGGAGAGGGACGGGGGTCCCATGAGGAAACCCTCTCTTAGACCAGAGGGCTGGCCCATCCTGCCTTCAATGGGATCCTCCTGCTAAAATTGGAACCCAAACGAAAGGCCTTCGCTAGGCAATCTATCATTAGCTGGGGGAGCAGACGCCCTGCCCGGCCCACGTGTGGGTCCTAGGCACATCCGCAGCGGGGAGGCAGGTGTGGGGAACAAGGGGCGGAGGGCTTCCTGGTGGCAGGAGGGAGCTGCTCACCCCCGGCTCTTTGGCAAACAGGAGGTAAATCACCAAGGAGCCCGCCAAGGCCAGCAGCAGAGCCCAGGGCAGCAGCACCAAGGGCTCCTCTGTGGGGCCGCCGTCCCCCTGGGAGCAGGCGGACCCCTGCATGCCCCCCAGAGCTGGCTCCAGTTCACCAACTCTCTGCCGCTTCAGCTGGGCCCGGCTGGCAGACAGACATGCCAGGAAGAGCAGGGAGAACCGGCGCAGTGGCATGGCCTTCCCAAGGGATGTGCCGGAGAGACTGGTTGCTAGGGAACCGGTTGCCAGGGATACCATAGTCTGAAGCTTCCGTGGACCAACACGGCCATTGTCACCCTGAAGCAAGCAGGGGAAGGGGCTGAGGATGGGGGGGGTGCGATGGAGGGGGGAGCCACAGCTACAGCTTTCTTCCTGTCCGGGTGCACCCATTTGCAGGGCTGGAATTGGCCCAGTTCACCAGAGGGTCTGTGACCCAGGCCTTGGGACTGACCTCTTCATCCCTGGCTCTGGCCACGCAGGGAATCCCCCCTCCCCCCGCTGGCCATTGGAAGCTTCAGTGGGTTGCCCACGCAGTCTGGCAAGGCCCACCATCTTCGCTCTTGCTGAGTTCTGCAGACTGAGAGTGCCGCCTTGGCAAAGCGATGCTGGATTGGGTTGTGGGTCTCGGTGTGGGATTGCAACACGGCTTTCGCTTGGTGGGATGGAAGTTTGCCCCATCCTGGCCTGACCCCGAACGCCCCGACGGGAGCTTTCCACTGGCAAAGAGGGTGGCCTTGTTTCTCCCTGCCCTCGGGAACACCGTGATCCCGGGAGGGAGGAAGAGGGAGGCGGGCACGGCGGACAACAATGCCCTTGTCACCCTGCCCTGCTGGTTGCGGGCGGGCGTCCACGTGCCGGACTCCTCCAGCTGTTTGGCCCCCCCTCCCTCCCGCTCGGCAGGCGGCCACGTGCTTCGGCCGAGGGACAATGGCTCCGTTTGAGCAGGCCTGAGACTCAGCCGCTGCCTTGGGGGTCAAAACAAGGGGAGAGGAATGGCCTGTGCTTGGGAGCGTTGCGCTGGGGGGAGGGCGCGGAAGGACGCCGGGGTAGGTGGGGGGGCACCAAGGAACTGCAATGGCTCTTCTGCGGCTCTTCTTTGAGCCGTCCCTGGGGGGGGAGGGAGGGCAGAGGGCTTGCCAGTCCATCTTGCATACGCTCTGCAGCTTTTCCCAAAAGGCAACTGGATTTTCTTGGGTTTTTATTTCTTTCAGAACGTTCCACTTCTCATCCCAGAGAAGGAAAAAGGAAAGGAAAAACCCCACGGAAGTCCAGTTGGCTTTTGGGAAAAGCACCTTTGGGACCACCAGGCCCTGGACGACGGAGGGTCTCTGTCGACATTCGCTCTGCGGCTGCTTCTACCACCCGAGGCAGATGCTGGCAAAGCCCTCTCCTCACCGGGACCTCCGCTTCTTTGCTCAACACCCCACAAATCTCCCCACACAACACGGAGCGACTTTTAACAGCTAGGGACTTTAATAACCTGAAATACTGCAAAAGTGCCCTGGATATAAAAGTATTGCCAGCTCTCCACACCCCAACCTCAGTTCTGCACCCCAATTTCCAACCAGGTCCGTAGTACCTTAAAAAAAGCCCCCTCCTACTTCAGTCTCGAGGGGGGTAAGTGCAGCAGTCTCCCCCCAGGTTAGGGGAGGGCAATCCCTGCGAGGGAGGGATCCCCCAATCCGAGGCTGGGTTTCTCCCTCTGGATCTCTCCTCCCTGCTAGGAAATATATCCTGCTCCTTTCAGAGCTGGGGGTAAAATTGCACCCCCGGAAGGCACATGTGTGTTAGTAGCCCAGTTCCCCAACCCCACCCCAAAGGCTGGTTTCACAAACGCACACGCACAGGTGTGCACGACCCCCACCCCACCCCAAAGAGGCAAGTTCACATCAGCGGGACTGCATTGGCGAGCTCCAGAGCTCTCATCAGGCACTCCTTAGTGTCAGCAGCAGCAGCTCTCTCTCCGTCCGTCCGTCCGTCCATCTGTCCAGGGTCATGCGGAGCCGCTGGATGATGGCTTGTTTTCGTGGCGCTGAGCCTGAAAGTGGCTGGTCTGCTCCGTGTTGGCCAGGGAGCGCAGGAGGCTGTTCTCCTGTTCCAATGCAGCGTTGCGCTCGGACAGGTCTTTGATCTGCTCCCTCAAGACTTCCACCTCTTCCCGCACGGCGAACATCAAGTGGCTCTTGACCAGGTCCTGGGGAAGCAGGAGGAGGAGCTGTAAGGCTCATCAGGACCCCAGAACGCCAGCCCCTCCCCCACCACATTGACGGCCGGCTCTGTCATCCGGCCTCCGACAGGGCCAGAATAACAGAGTGGGAAGGGACCTTGGAGGTCTTCTAGTCCAGCCCCCTGCTCAAGCAGGAAACCCTATACAATTTGAGACAAGTGGACGGCCTCTCTTTTCTTAAAAACCTCCAGGGATGAAGCACCCACAATTTCTGGTGGCAAGCAGTTCCACTGGTTAACTGTTCTCACTGTCAGGAAATTTCCCCTTATTTCTAGGTTGCTTCTCTCCTTGATTAGTTTCCACCTGTTGCTTCTTGTCCTGCCTTCAGGGGCTTTGGAGAATAGGTTGCCCTCCCTCAAAGACTGGAATCCTGCTGTCATGTCACCCCCTAATCCTTCTTTTCATTAAACCAGACACCCCCAATTCCTGCAGCCGTTCTTTGTATGCTTTACCCTCCAACCCCCTTCTCCTCTTCCTTGCTCTTCTCTGCGCTGTTTCCAGAGTCCCAATATGACCAAAATTGGATGCCATAGTCAACGTTCCCCCCAAGGCTTTCTCCAATGGTATCAACACTTCCTGTGATCTTGATTCCACAGCAAAGGGGGTCATTTGCACAGTGCTTTTACTAAGAAGGGGCCAAAAGGGTGCAACGCCCACCAAGCTGCCCCTGGCCGTCTTGATAAGGTTGGCCTGTTAGCCGAAGGGTCCCCGCAGCCTCCCTGACGCCCATCTGCAGACGCTTCCTAGCAGGCCCCGGAGTTTCCTCTAGCCGGCTGCCACAGCCTCTCCCCTGGGGAGAACTACGCAGAGCAGAATTTGCCACCGGGAGCCACTCTGGCCTCTGGCAAAGCTCGGGAACGTTGGGCATCGCTCAGCCTGCACCAGAGCTCTGCTTCCCACAGAGGTTGCCAACTGACCGGAGGGATCGGTGACCTTGTCAGGGGCTTCCCGGGCATATAAAACCTGGACAATCACATCCAGAAACCCCCAAAGGGGCTTTTCAAATGGCAACTGGACTTTCTTGGGTTTTTTTCTTTGAAAACGTTTCGCTCCTCATCCAAGAAGCTTCTTCGGTTCTTCTTGGATGAGAAGCGAAACGTTTTCAAAGAAAAAAAAAACATTTTATTTTCAAAGAAAAACCAAGAAAGTCCAGTTGCCTTTTGGAAAAAGCACCTTTGGGACAACCGTGCCCTGGATGGCTGAGAATCTGCAGAGGCACATCCAGAAACGTTATCCGAGAAGTGGATTCGGCTCCTGCCAAGGGTTAGGGACTGGCAGCTCCCGGACGGAAGCTGCCTCTTGATCTCGGACCCTGCAGCCCGCCTATGCCCACCAAGGGCCGTGCCCGTCTGCCCAGGGCCACCATCCCTCCTGCCCCGTCTCTGGACTCACCATGGCTTGTTCAATCTTGTTGTCGATGGCGATCATGCTGCTATTGGTTCCGCTGCGGGAGAGAGAGGCACCCGTGAATCGGACTGACCCCCAAAAGGGGAACCTGCCCTGACTTGTGCCAGGAGCCCCACTCCCCCCGTGCCGTCCTGCCAGGGGTGAAATCTACTTACCTTCCCTCCCGGTTTGGAAGTGCACGCACACCCTCTGCTCATGCGCAAAGCCCTCTGTGCATGCGCAGAGGGTAAAAAACGACGACGACCAGGTGAGTGGGCGGAGCCTCGTGCTGCCGTCGCTACCGGTTCTCCGAACCACCCACCGCCATCGCTACCGGTTTGGACAAACTGGTCCAAACCAGTAGCATTTCACCCCTGAGTCCTGCTGCTGCCCCACAGGGCTTCTGCTCCCCAGAGTCAGCTCTGCTGCCCCCCAAGGTTTGCCAGCCAGGCAAAAGCAGAACAGAGTTGGAAGGGACCTCGGAGGTCCTCTAGTCCAGCCCCCTGCTCAAATAGGAACAGGATCCCAGAGCAGAAGGGCCTGATTGCCGCAGGGACCCTCAACGGCAGATTAAGCAGCTCCGGGGCAGCAGGGGAGGCCATGAGTGGCCTTGGGATCTCTGCCTGAACGGGGGTATGCCTGCCCCACCGGGTGGGATAAAAGGCCAGCCCACCCAGGCATTCCACCTGTGCACGAGCAGCTCAAGTCGTCCCCCAGAGGGGGTACCTGGCCTGGCTCCCCCCTCCCCCTGAGGAGTCCAGGTGTGCCTTGCTAAGCCTGCAGAGCTCTGATTGGTTAAGTCAGCCGTTCTCCGGGTGGGGTCCAGAGATACAGCAACCGGAGTAAGGAACAAAACCAAAGCACTTTCAGCGTTTCTCAGTTGTTTTAAGAATGAGACCCCCCCCATCCCCATGTTCAAGAAGCAGAGAGAGAAGCAGAAAAGACAGATGAACGGGGGGGGGGGCTCCTAGGGGCTCTCTGAGCTTGGTTGTTTTCTTGCAGACGTTTCGTGACCTAACTAGGGAAGATCATCAGTTTAACCAAGTTCAGAGAGCAGCAAGGACCCCACAGTCCTCCTCCTCCCCCTTCCCCCCAAACCCCCCTCCCTCCTAGCACTGATGTCGTTCTCTAGTTGGGTCATGAAAGGTCTGCAGGAAAACCCCCCAGCTCAGAGAGCACCAAGGGCCCCTCGTTCCTACCCGGGGCTACAAAGATTCCCCTTTATTGAGACAATTCCCCAAAGCTGGTGCAGCCACGGCATTCACCCGCCCTGCGTGACCCCCTTCTGGGCCCACACAAGATTCCACCCTGGAGACCAGCTAAAGGAGTGGAGGACACAGCCAGCCCTCTGCAGGCCCCATCCCTCCTTTCCTCCACAGGAACCTCCTCGGGCCCCTCACCCCTCTCTTGACCCCCCTCCCCACCCGCAGCCCAGAACCTCCCCGCTACCTGTGGAGGACCAACAGGAGGGAGAGCAGCCTCTGGTCCGCCTCCTTCTGACGGCAGCTGTTCAGCTTCCGGGGGTTTGGCGGGGTCTCCTTTGGCTTCGTCACCCGCGCTGGGGAGGCCTCCCTGGATGAAGCCGGAGAGGTGCAGCCCCTCTGCCTGGGGCGAGGGGAGGCCCCCGGATCAGGGAGCAGGCAGCAGCCACAGCTGGGGTGCTCCCACCGAGACTCGTAAGCGGTCACCAGGGATCGGACAGATGTCCGTTGGCGATCCAGAGACATCGCCCCCGCCTCTCCTCCTGCCTCCAGCTCTCTGTGGGGCGCCTGAGGGTGGCACCCCCAAAGGCAGTTGCTGGGCAGGCCCCTCTCCCCTTCTCCTTTGGTCTTCCTGTGCCCCAGTCATCCGCCAGCCCTTCTGAGCCTCGATCCCCCCCAATCCATCAGCAGCAGGCAAAAGGCCGGCCAGCCTAGGGAAAGGCCGGTGGTGTGCCCAGCAGCTCCCGTCAGACGGGGCAGGCGATGGGCACTCGCTTAGCCAGCAGGCTCCTGGCTCCACATAAATAGCCATCTCTGTGCCGGGCTCTCGGCCCCCTCTCATTCACTCTCATTGGCTGGGGTGTAGGGGGGAGCGCGCCCCATTCCCAACCTCGGGAGAAAGCAGAGCCAGCCAGCAACTGGGGCCTCAGCTGCCCAGGCTGCCAGGCGCGCCACAGCAGCCGTGCTCTGCCCGCGCACTCTCTTCCGTCCCCCGCGCCCAGGACGGAAGTGGCTGTGGGACCTCCGCTCTCCACCACCCCCCCCTTGCTCTTGGCTCAGATGTGGCCCAGAAGGCGTGCAGGGGGTGGGGGTGGGGGGGCTGCACAAAGGAACCTTTATAAACTTGCCACCTCTGTTTATGCCAGTCCCCGTCCAGGCAGGGGGGGGGTGCTGGGGGTGGGACGTTGTCATGGGAACAGGGAAAGGAGTCCAAGCACATTGCATAACCCTTGAATGAGGGCCTGGGCCTGCCCCCCAGCCTGGGCAATGGTGCCAACAGACTAAGACGCCCTTGGCAGACCGAATAAATCCGTGGGGCATGGGAGGGGGAGAATCTAGGAGGGAGAATCAAAGCAACTTCCTCCCCCCCCCCCACGGGAACTCTCACTCTGCCGGCTGAGCTGACTGGTAGGCGGGGGGCACCAAGTTGCTTCTCTCCTTGATTAGTTTCCCCCCATTGCTTCTCGTCCTGCCCTCAGGTGCTTTGGAGAATAGCTTGACCCCCTCTTCTTTGTGGAAGCCCCTGAGATATTCCTTCTTTTCATTAAACTAGACGTACCCAGTTCCTGCAACCGTTCTTCGTATGTTTTAGCCTCCAGTCCCCTAATCGTCTTTGTTGCTCTTCTCCGTACTCTTTCCAGAGTCTCCACATCCTTTTTTATATTGTGGTGACCAGAACTGGAAGCAGTTGGTTTATTTTATGGCTCAGCAGTGGGTCAGTTGGTTCAGCACAAGCAATTTTCAAGGTTGCCAACTTGCAGATGGGTGGACTTCCAACTCCCAGAATTTCCCAGCCAGGTGAAGTCGGTGGGGCAGGAGTCACACACACCCCCGAGCCAGACTCCCCACACTGGAGGAGCCCCTTTCTAACCAAGTAGGGAAGCATTGTTTACAATGGCACATCCGTGGCATTTCCTGTCTTGCCGTCCTGGGATAAGAGCCCCAGCCCCCCTCCCTCAGAGTGCCCCCTATTGGCCACTCACCAAGTTGAGCCTTGACTCCCCTTGAGCATGCACAGAGTGTAAAGCCTCCAACCTCTTCCCTGCACAATGTCGAGAGGAGAACTCGGAGGCAGGAAGCCCTCTCTACGTCCTCCATCTTTTCCCATAAACCCAAAGCCCACCCTCACCCCCTCCCCATGGCTGGGCATTGGAGGCCAATAATGCCCTGGAAGGGCAGGGGTGTTGGCATCACCCAGGGCATGCTTTCTGGGGAGGGGTGGGAGCCGGTGGGGCAGGACAGGCTGGGTGTCAAGACAAGATTTGCTGCTCCTGAAGGGGCCCGTTTCCCTTCTCCGCTGTGGGGCGGAGAGCAGAGGTGGCAGGAAAGGCGCTTCCGTCAACTGATACCCCCCCTCCCCTGCTCAGATGCCCACATCTTAAACCGTAACCGGCTCTGCCAGCCCTTGGAAGGATTTATTCTGGGCACAGGGCTCTTTCACCCCCACCTACCTGTGCCAAATGTCCCACCCAGCCCTGTTCCAGGCTAAAGTTTACCCCCCTCATTCCTTCCCCATTCCCCCCCCCCCCCCCCGGACACTTAACATGGCTAAGAATAGTAGAGTCACCACCCTCCACCCCCACAGGGATGTAGTGGGTGCTAGACTGAATTAGCGGTCTGTGTGTGTGTTTGTGGTGTGTGTGTGTGTGTGTGGTGTATCTTGATAGTGGCCCCCATTAAGCTTTTGGGGAGGGGGGAAGTACAGAGATGATTGGGCGGGAGCCAGCAAGCAAGCCAGGGGGCTCACACGGGGTGGGTGGGCTCGGAGGTAGGCAGAAATCGGGAGGCAACATCCGCTTTGGCCTTGGGGTGCCCTTGATGCCAGCCAAGCTCTCTGAGCGACCTTGGGGGTGGGCTAAAAGGGGAGGGGGTGAATTGGCATGATGTGGGGAATGGGATTGAGGCCCCTGGAAGTCCCCAGAGAGGGGGGGAATGGAAAGGCAGGTCCTCAAGGCAGAAACATGAATGAGAGTTGGAGCTCCCTCTGGGCAGGGAGACAGAAGCAGGCAAAGCACCAGGAACGGATGTTGTCCCCACCCCCCCCACTTCCAGGAGCTAAACTGCCGGCTGTGGGATCTGAAATTCTCAGGTGCAGTCAGGGCTGAATCTGAAGACCACCTGAAATTAAGGAGACACTTCCTAACAGTGAGGACAATTAGCCAGCGGAACAGCTTGCCACCAGAAGTTGTGGGGTCTCCATCACTGGAAGTTTTAAGAAGAGAATAGACAGATACTTGTCTGAAATGTACAGGGTCTCCAGCTTGAGCAGGGGGTTGGACTAGAAGACCTCCGAGGTCCCTCCCAGCTCTATTCTGATGGATGAAAGAGCTGCTACCCGCAGCAGCCAGCAGGGGCCCGAGGGCAAGGAAGCCAGGCAGGGGGGTGAGGTCTGTGTGTGTTGGTGGGGGTGGGGGGCTCCCTTGGCTGCTGGTCCCTGAACCAGGCGCAGGAGAGCTCCGGAGAGGCTGCTGGGGCTGGGCTGGCTGTCAGGCTCGAAATAGACTGTCCTCTGTCCCCCCCCCCTCAGCCCCCCTCCCGCCCTCCCAGCTGCGCCAGGATGGAAATAGCAGCAGCCGCGCTGGGAGGGAGAGCTGGCCTCACCTACCTGGGAGGCGGCCGAAGGGGGCCGGAATCCGGATCCTGAAATTCTACCCGCTCCTCCCCTCCCCTCCCCTCCCCATCTCCCGTTTCCCTCCGTCTCGGCCTGCCCCATAGCTCTCCGGCCCCCAGAGCACCGATTGTTTGCGCCAGAAAGAAGCCACAGAGGGCGTCGCCGGAGCGGAGGAGGAGGAGGAGGAGGAGGAGGAGGAGGAGGTGAAGAAACAACCCTCCGCAGAAAGTCGGGCCGATTTCGGGGAAATGGTCCGGGGACAGAAAGCGCTGTCCCGACGCCTCCCGAGCCCTCTGACCGCCGGCTCTTGCAGCACCCGGAGCCACTTCCGAGGGGGGTGCCGGCTGCCCCCCCTCCCAGCGCTTGCAACCACCCGCGGGCACACCCGCTCCTGCCTTCTGACACCCCTCTTCTTCCTCATTTCCTCCTCTTGCCCAAGCCCCAACAGAGGAACTACGCTGGGCGGAGCCGGTGCCGAGGGCAGCCACAGGCGCGTGCAGAGAGCCATGAAGGTGCCTTCCCTCCGACCGAGGTGTCGCCAGCGCACCCTCTTCACCCATGTGCCCCCCGCCCCCTTCCAGCCTCACCCACTGGGGGGGCTCCACTCCAGGCGCCTGGCAGAGAGCAGGTGGGGAGGGTCAGACCCAAACTCCTCTCCCCCACCCCACCCCCGCAAGACTGGGCACCGCCGTCCCGAGATGTGCCGGACCGCCCCCCCCTCCTGCCCCCACCTGTCATCGTCGCTGTCGTGGGAGGTTCCCATGCCAAACACCGACCGGGCCAGGTTGAAGCGGGCCACGCCAAAGGGGTCCGAGGTTCTCCGGTGGGGGCTTGCATCGCGGAAGAGCAGGGGAGCCGGGGAAGATGGGCGCGAGCGGGTCTCTCTGGGCAAAATCTGTCGTGGGGGAGAAAGAACTGAGCCTCTCCGGGGCAGGGAGGGAGAGGAATTGGGGAGGGAGGGCGGGCGGGGCAACTTCCACTCTGGCCCTCTTTGGACAGGGGTTGCAGTGGGCCCCGCATGGAAGGGAAAGCCAAGTCACGGGGGGCCGGGGGGGGGGTTTTTTGCCTGTTTGCATAGCCAGAGAAGCAGAGGAAGAGGCTGGTGGCTGGGTAGGGCAGGGCAAGCCACTCTCCCCCGGCCCAGAGCTCAGTGTCCCTGCTCCTTGGGCTCCCAAGGCATCTCTGAAGAGCTTTGGACCCAGTGTGACCCCACTAGGACCCAAGATGGACAGCAGTTCCTGGTCAAGGGCACCTGAGTGGACTTACCCCACCCCCACCCCCAGTGCCCTTTCCTCCTCTTCCCCCAAGCACTACTGGAGAGGTCTTAGGAAGGTTCACCCCAAACTTTGCTGAATCGGGCCCATTTCTCAGCCCTCTTTCCCCTTGGCACAGGGCGTGGTGGGTGCTCAGCCACGGCTTGCCAAGTTCTTCTGATGGGCACAGGTGCAGGCCCAGGACTTCTCCCCTGAGGGCATCGGAGGGATTCACCACCCCGCAGCCCATCCTTTCCCATGTAAAAGGGGGACTCTGTCTCCCTGGGCCCAGTGACGAGGAGGAATTGCCCCCAGGAGGACAGGCAGAGGTGGGCAACCCTGTGAGAACAAGGGAGTGCAAGTTGCAGGCAGGGTCAACCAGAGGCCAGAGGACATTCGTGAAGGGGAGCTTCTCCCAGCCAAGGTCCCTGGTCTCTCTCGGTGCCCGTCCTCAGTTGAGGAGGGGGAGGGGTGGCCAGGACCCCTCTCTACAGCTCACGAGACCCCACATCCTCACCTTGTGCCGCTCTTCCGTCTCCCTTGGGATGAGCTGGGTGACACTTTTGGGCAGCAGGTGCTCCTCCACTCTCACCACCGGGATGGTGCCAGGCTGGGGAGGGTCTCCAGGCTCTTGGGCACCTTCCTCTGGAGCCAGGGGCCGCTTCTCTGCCACAACTCGGGTGCTGTGGAGAGATGCCGGGCTGGGGGGGGTCCTACCGGGGCGGAGAACAGGCAGGCCACCCCCTAGAGAGCGGGCCTGGTGGGCTGAGGCCGCGGGCACTGGGAGGACCAGGAGGGATTGCAGGCAAGGCCCTCCCCGCCGTGGCATCTGAGGGCTGAAGGGCGAGGAGGGCTTCGCCAGGAGGCCAGCCACTTCCAGCCGCGAGTCCAGGGACTGAGGCTGCCGGGCAGAGTCTGCCAGCCGCCCCACCAGGTGGTGGTCCATCTCCTGTTCGTAGAAGTCTCGGCAAGTCCAGCGCCCACGTTTGTATGGCTCTCCCAAGCCATGGTCCAGTTTGACCACACGAAAGCGAGAACCGGCCACACTGCCGATGGAGCCCGGGTGCAAGGGAGCTGAACCCGGGGAGCCAGGAGCCGAGGGCCCGTTTTTTGGCCCCACACCACCATTGAGATGGTGACTGCCATTTTCCACAGGGTTGGGCTCCTCCGAGGGGCTCTTGGCGTCTCCTCGGGACAGACCCTCCTTCTCGTAGTCAGAGGTGACGCTGGTAATCTGGAACCCGCTCTTCTTCTTCCCCACGCTCATGATCCTGACCGGGCGGGGGTCTCGGCGACTCTCCAGGCAACAGAGGGGGGGCTACCACCCCCAGGCCATGGCTGCACCCGAGGCAAGGGCGAAGAAGCAGAGGGCCGGAGTCTGCGCCCCGGGCTGATCTGAGCACAGGGCAGGCCCCCCAAAGACCCCGGCTGGGTCCTTCGCCTGGGGAGCGGGTGGCCCTCGGCGCTCCTGCGGGTTGGCGGCAGCGGCGAGAGGTCGGCGCGCCCTGGCCAGGAGCAAAGCCAGTTTAAGGGGCATTTGCCTGGCAGGCGTCCCGCATTGTTTCACTCCCAGCTGCAACTTTCTCCGGCGGCGGCTCCTCGGCCGAGCGGTCCGCCCGCTCCTTCCCCGCTTCCCCTCGATCCCGGCCCGGCCAGCGGCTCAGAGGGCGGCGGGGCTGGGCTCGGTTTCGGCGCATGGCGGGGCTGGGCCGGAGGGCATCCCCGCTGCTCTGGGGGCTGCGACCACCCACCGGGCGGGACCGATCGTAGCGCTCGGCTCTGCCCCCGAGGCAGGAGGCGCGCCCCTCGCCACGGCCGGCCTTCCGCGGGCAAAGCTGCGGCCGGGGCTGCGCTGGGCTGGCTGGCTCGCCTTCCTCCTCCTGCTCCGCTTCTCTCCTCGCCTCTTCGGCTGTTGACAAGTCCCAGCACCAGGAAGTCCAGCCCCCTCCCAACCAGCTGACTGGGTGACGCCCCCTCCCCCCAGCTGGGCCCAGGCCAAGCCGCGCTTCCCTCCGCCGGCACCTCCGCCAGGCAGCCGCCTGCCCGCCTGCGGAGCCCCCGCTCGGAGGGAGAAGCAGGCGGCCGCCTCGCAAGGGGGTCCCGCCTAGCCGGCCGCCCCCAGCCGCCTCGGCAGCGCTGGGAAGGCGCCCCCGCCGCCCCCTGCCCGCCATCCCGGACGGAGCCTGGGGAAGGAAGGGGCGCTGTCCGAGCGAGCGAGCCCGGAGGGGAAAAGCTGCGGGGTCCCCTGGCCGCCGGCTTCTTCGCCCCCGCCCCCCCGATCCCCGTGTTGGGCCCCGGGAGTCGCCCTCCCCTTGCCAGGGAGCCGGTCCGAGGGTGGCGGCCCGGGCTGAAGCGGAGGGTCTTCCTTCCTCCCGAGCCCCCCGCCTCCTTTGCCTCGGCCGTGAACCCCCGCGCCCCGCCCCCCGCGCCCCCCCAGCTAAGCCTCAGCGCCTGTAAGGGGGGGGGGGCTCGGCGGGGGCGCCCCGGGAAGGCTGCCCGGCATCACGTGAAGGCTCCGGTGGGGCGTTGCTGCCCCCTGGTGGCCGAGCGCAGCCCCGGTCCGCTTCCTTCGGGCAGGCGGCGCGGCTCGCCCGGGGGCCGCTGGGCCACCTTCGGCCGGCAGGTGGGAGTCGGGACCTCCGCCGCGCGTGGCCGGGGGCCGAAGCGCTTTCTCGGCCGGCCGAGCTTTCCTCCGGCCGCCGCCAGCGCCGGCCATCCCGACCGGCAGGAGGGCTCCGGGGACCCGCAAGCGCTGCGAGCGAGGCAGGGCTGCCCGGGCCGACCGGAGTCCCGCGTGCAGAGCCGCGCCTCGCTCAGCCCTGCCGAGAAGCCGCAGCCACGCCGCCGTTCCGCCTCGGCGGGTCGGGCAGCATCTCCGAGGCCGGCGGCGGCATCTCAGCAGCGGCGCAGCAGCCGAGCGTCCTCGGGGCTCCCCTCGGCCGTCCGCTCCGCTCCCAGGCACGGCAAGCACGGCGGCTCCGCGCGCCCCGGGCGCCGCTCCCCGGAGGGCAAGAGCGGGGAGGGCGGCGGGCGCCAGCTTGGAGAAGGCGCGCCGCCGAGGAGCGGCCTCCCGCCTGGTCCCGCAGCCCGCCCCCCCGAAGGGAAGGGAGGGAGGGAGGGAGGGAGGGGAGGCCACCGCGGGGCCAGACCGCGCCTCCCTCGGGCAGGAGAGCCCGGCGGCGGGGACCCCGTCCAGGGCTTCGCTGCTCACCTCCGGCCACCGCTGCCTCCTTCGCCTCCTCTGGCGGCGGCCCTCCGGCCGGGGCTCCATCCGAGGCGGGCCGGGCGGGGCCCGGGGGGAGGCGCGGGGATGGCCATGCCGCGCCGCTGCAGAGAAGGCGGGGGCGCCCCTCCCCCGGCCGCGCAGGGCTCCGGGTCAGGCCGGGCCGGGGGCTCAGCGAGCGGGAGCCGCGGGCCGGCCTCCTCCAGGCGGCCCCGGCGGGCGGGGGTCTCCCTCCCCTCCCCTCCCCTCCCCTCCGCCCGCGCTGCGCCCGCGCTCCCGGCTGGGGGAGGCGCGCCGAGACGCTGCGTCAGCCGGAGGAAGCGGCGCGGGGAGCAGCCCCAGGCCAGGTGAGCGGCGGCGCCGGCCGGCTCCGAGCTCCCGCCATCCCCGCCGCCGCCGCCGCCGCGTCCCCGCGCTGGCCCCGCCCGGCAGCAGCGTCGCCGGAGCAACGGCAGGGGAGGCGGCGGAGGGCGGCGGCGGCGCAGAGCAGGTGCCTCTCCCGGGGCGGCGGGCGGGGCTGCGCGGGCCACGGAGGCGGCGCTTGGCGGGGGCTCCGGGGTGGGCGCGGAGCTGCCCCGCTCAGCCTCCCTCTCTCCCCGCAGCCCGGCCAGGACCGCGCCCTTCCCGCAGGCCGATCGCGCCCAGCGCCATGGAGGGCCGGCCCCCCTGAGCCCGCGCCCGGCCCGAGGATGGCGGGCGCCTGAGTCGTGCCGCGGCCGGGAGGAGAAGCAGGGCGGCGGCGGCGGAGGAGCGATGCCCCCCGGCCCCCGCCCCGCCCGCTCCCCCACACGACGCCCCGCCCCGCAGGTAGGTGGCGGGGGGCGCGGGGGGGGCGCGGCTGCCGGCCTTGCTTGGCTCTTCCCGGACTGGCATCCGGGGCTCCGGGGCTTCTGCCGCCGCCGCTCTGCTCGCTCGGTTGGGCGGGGAGGGGGGAGCCCCCCGCCTGGATTGTTTTCCAGCGAAGCAGGTCAGGCGCGAGGAGGGCCGGCGCTCTGCACGGGCTCAGAGGCGGCCTGGTTTCTGCCGCTCCCCCCCCCCCCGCCTCCGCCTCCGCCTCCCTGGCTAACGGCGCTTCTTTCCCGCAGCAGCGCCCCCTCCGGGCGCCCCCGGCCCGCCTTTGGCCAGCCCGCAGAAGATGAATGCCGGGCCCCAGGAAGCTCTGGTCTCCGTCTTCCTGCAGTTCATCGAGGCGCGGGGCTGCTGGTGCTACGGGGCGCTGAGCCAGACCTGCCACCCCCAGGAGCTGCGGCTGCGGAGCGACATGAACCTGCTCTACCGGAAGAGCGGCAAGGTGGACTGGAAGCCGGGCAAGGACGAGGAGCCCAAGCGGGGGTGAGCAGCCGGCCCAGCAGCCTCTTCTTCCCCTGGCCCAGGAACTGCCTAGGGAGCCCACCTGCCCTAGGGGCCCGCCCCGGAGGGCTTCCGGCTCAAGGGGGGCTTCCACCCTGCCTGGCTTGTTAATCCACACTGGGGAGGGGGGCGCAGTTTTCAACGGGGTCGGAATATGGCAGAGGGGTCTGGAATTCCCTCTGGGGGGCTGAGCAGCCCTTCCCGAGCCCTGAGTGGGGGGGGCAGAGACTCGCCCCAGATCTGGTTGGGGGGAGTTCCCAAAGGGCTGTTTCTGTGTGGGGGGGGCGATGGGGGCCCTGGCACAACTGGCATTGGGTAGAAGAGGGGTGAGCAACTTCAGAAGCTGCTGGCTGAGGAATTCTGGGAGCTGAAGTCCACAGGTCCTACAGTTGTTGTCCACCCCTGGCAGAGATGGGGGGCCTGAGCTGATGGATGGCAAAGGGCAATGAATGAATGTCCGGCAGGTTATCCTTCCCTCCTGCTGATTTAGAGGGGAGGGGGGCGCTTTGTTCGGGCGAAGGTGTAGCTGTGATGCTCCCGTTTTGGTCCCGTAAGGTGAGAAGGTTGAAAAGCGGAGCTGATTGCGTGGCCGTGCGGAGGGTTTGGGGGTCTGATTGGTGCTGAGTGGCAAAGGGGCACCTGGCTGCCAAGTCTGCTTTTTGCCACTGATTTCCTGCCAGGCTTTGGGGCCTCAGCCGGTTCGCGTCCTGAATGGCTCTCTCGGTGGTCTGGAGTTCTGGTGTCTGTCTACGGAGTGGGGCTTTGGTGTGATCACGGGCTGTGGATTATGGTCTTTGGAGCAGAGTAACCCAAATCTCTTCTTTGTTGTGGGTCATGTTTTGGCCTTGTCGGGTGCGTTCCCCCCCCCACGAATAAACTGCATAGGATCAGGATAGAAAGACAGAAATCTGAATGGTAGAAAAATATCTAATAGTCCATTGAGTTTGCCTTTTGTTTTCTTTCTTTCTTTCTTTCTTTCTTTCTTTCTTTCTTTCTTTCTTTCTTTCTTTTTCTTTCTTCCCTTCCCTTCTGCTTTCCCATTTGTCCTTTTCCTTCCCTTCCCCTCTCCACTTTCTTTCTTTCTTTCCTTCCCTCTTTCTTTTTTCTCTTTCTTTCTTTTCTTTCTTCCCTTCCCTTCTCCTTTCTCCTTTCTCCTTTCCCTTCCCTTCCCTTCCCCTCTTTCTTTCTTTCTTTCTTTTCTTTCTTCCCTTCCCTTCTCCTTTCCCATTTCTCCTTTTCCTTCCCTTCCCCTCCCCGCTTTCTTTCTTTTCTTTCCTTCCCTCTTTCTTTTTTCTCTTTCTTTTTCTTTCTTCCCTTCCCTTTTCCTTTCTCCTTTCTCCTTTCCCTTCTCTTCCCTTCCCTTCCTTTCCCCTCTTTCTTCTTTCTTTCTTTCTTTCTTTTTCCCTCTCCCTCTCCCTCTCTCTCTCTCTCTGTCTCTTTCTCTTTTTAGTTGATTTTATATTTATTTACTTATATTTTTGTCCAGTGATGGACATGTGTGTACCCCAGGATCTTTGAAATGAATGGTCTGCTCTGGAGCATTAAGGATGACAAAATTGTGAGGGCTGAGACCAGTGTGAAACCCTGTTTGCAGCCTCTGAACTGAGGTGGGCGGCAGGAGAGGCTGTGAATTCACCAATTTCCACAGATCACCTCCTGAAGTCCCTCTCCAGTGGGAGTGAAAGTCAGTCTCCAGTTCACCTGGTCAATGAGGCCCACAGCTTCTCCTTCTCTCCCTTTCTGCCCCCTTGGTGCTGCCTCCCCACCTCTAGGGCCATCGTGGAAGTTGGGGGGGCTTAGGGTTGGAATAGTTAGTCCTCCCTCCCTCTCTCTCTCTCTCTCAACATGAGGGGGGCCTTTGGGATAAGGTGGCCTCACCTGTCTTTGAGGGAGCTGAGGGGCTGAAAAAAAGTATAGGCAGTCCTCGCCTTATGACCACGATTGAGCCCAAAATGTATGTTGCTAAGTGAGACAGTTGTTAAGTGAATGTTCCCCTATTTTACGACTTTTCTTACCATGGTTGTTAAGTGAATAACTGCAGTTGTTAACTGAGCAACAGGATCATTAAGCGAATCTGGCTTCCCCCCTTGACTTGGCTCGTCAGAAGGTCACAAAAGGGGATCACATGAGCCCCCCCCCCCGGGACACCACGACCGTCATAAATACGAGTCAGTTGCCAAGCATCCGAATTTTGATCACACGGCCCTTGGGGTGCCTGCGACTGTCATAAGTGTAAGAAATGGTCCTAAGTCGCTTTTTTTGAACAGTCTTTAAAAGAACCGTTGTGAGTCAAGAGCTACCTGTGCCACAGGCAGCCCCATCCTGATAGTCCCTGGGGAGGGGGATGAGTTGACTCTGGGGAGGCCCAAATCTCTCTCTCTCTCTCTCTCACACGCAAATTCTGTTCTCCTGCCCAACCTTTACTAGGCTCTCCTCTCCTTGCCCGGCTGCCTTCCCCATAGCCAGGCAGTGGCGACCCCTTTTTTCTCCCTTTCTGCCCCAGGCCCCCTTCCCTCAGGTGGAGGGAGGCCTTCAAGGCAGCCTCCCTGCAGGGTGCAGCATCTTTCCTTCCACAGAGAGTCCCCGAATCCTTGTAGGCTCCCTTAAAATGTACCCTTGAGATGCCAGCTTCCCCGGGACTTTCGGAGTTGGGGGACGGGGCTTGTAGGAGAGGAGAGAACAGCAGGAGCCCCTCGAGGCCGGCCAGTTCTGGGGGAAAAGTTTTGAGGGTGTGCAGACCGCATTTAAGCATTTAAGCAATTATTTTATTTTCCCCAGAATCTGGGTTTATCCAAACAAAGAGCTTCTCAGATTGAGGGTTGGGGGGGAAGCAGAGAGGCTTAACCCCAGGTAGGACCTCCATGAATTGTGCAATTTGCCAGAGGCCTTTCTACCACTCTGCTTCTCGGGAACTGCTGGGATGTGCTTGCCGAAGACGCGGGGAGGCTGCTCTTAAGGGCTTCAGCCACAAAATGTTCCTTTCGCACAACAGGGCTGAGCAGAGCGAGGAGCCCCTTTTGCTCCCCACACGTGAGGCATGGAGGGAAAAAGGGGGCTCGCTTCTGGCCGGACTGTCTTAGGAAGCAACAAAGGGGAATATTTGCAGCTCAGGATTCAGATGAGGGGCCCTTGGTGCTCTCTGAGCTTGGCGCTTTTCTCACAGATGTTTCACGACCCAGCTAGGGAATTTCATCAGTGCTGGAAGGGAAGGGGGTTGTGCAGAGGAGGAGGAGGACTGTGGGGTCCTTGGTGGTCCCTGAACTGCGTTGTTTTCTTGCAGACATTTCACGACCCAGCTGGGGAACATCATCAGTGCTGGAAGGGAAGGGGGTTTACTCTCAGTTCATATTCTAGTGCTTGCCCTGTCTGTCTGGTGCTCTGACAAATTAGCCACCAATAGACACATAGAGCTAAAAGGCATCTACATACGGTGCAAAAGAGGCAATCAACAAGCCAAAAAGGGAACAAAAGGATCAAGGCCCCTCCCCCACCAGCAATTGGCACCCAGATGAGCAGATATTAACTCCATGATTAACATCAGATTAACAATCAAGTAAACAGTTGCCCAATCAAGGAACTGCCAAGTAAGCCAACTGTGAACGGCCCAGCCAAAAAAACGTCCAAGACCAGCCCCCCCTCCCCCCACCAACACGGACAGGGCAAACCACTGGGCTGTAAACTGAGAGCAAACCCCACTCCTTGCTTAGCACTGATAATGTTCCCTAGCTGGGTCGTGAAACGTCTGCAAGAAAACAAGCAAGCTCAGGGAGCCCCAGGGACCCCACAGTCCCAGTCATCATCCTTCTCCTCCTCCTCCCTTCGAGCACTGATGATGTTCTGTAGCTTGGCCATGAAATGTCCGTAAAGAAACAAGCAAGCTCAGGGACCGCCAGGTACTCCTCACGTCTTAGCAGCTGCCTCTAGTGGGACCAACTCAAAGGGTGCTTGAGGCGTAACTAACCAAGGAGAGATTCAGCTTAGAATTAAGGAGAAATTTCCTGACAGAACAGTCAACCAATGGAATGGAAGTTGCCTCCAGAAGTTGGGAGTGCGCCATCGCTGGAGGCCATTTGCCTGACATGGGCTAGGGTCTCCTGCCTGAGCAGGGGGTTGGACTAGAAGACCTCCAAGGTCCCTTCCAACACTGTTATTCTGTAATGCGTTTCACCTTCTCTGCATATGAGCAACGGGGCAAAACCCCAACTCCCTTCTAACTTTGTTATTCTCTTACTCTGCCTTCGACTCTAAGCTTTCCAAAACCCAACAAACCATCATGGTTTGAGACAGGGTCAAATGCATGGACCCCCAGGCTCAGGTGGCTGCAACACTCTAGTTTCAGCAGGAGAAGGCCACCTAGGAAATGGCCAGAAGAGATTGTCGCTGGCCTGTTGTGCAAAATCCTTAGCGTGGCTCCTTGGTTGGCCTTGTGTGAGGGCGGCTGTGGTGTTTTACGATCCTCTGACGGCTGAGGGGCTCAGCAGGAAGTGGCAAAGGGGCCTGGGGTTGAAATGGGCCTCGTGATGTCATCCTGCGGGTGTAGCAACATGGATCGGGTGTTGGAGCCAAGGAAGTGGATCGAGTCACTGAAGTGATGATCTCACTGGCCTGTTGTCATCCTGTGCTGGGAACAGAGGGACTGGGGATCGGTCCTTTTAATCCACCCTCGGTTAAGTCATAGAATCATAGCTTAGGAGGGGGTCTAAAAAGGTAGCAGGTCGTAGCAGGATTAACTAATTAAAGATTAATTAATTAAAGAGCCACGGTGGCGCAGTGGTTAGAATGCAGTATTGCAGGCTGGCTCTGCCGACTGCCAGCCAAGGTGGACTCAGCCTTCCCTCCTTCCGAGGTGGGACCCGGATTGTTGGGGGCCAGAGGCTGACTCTCTGAACCGCTTTGAGAGGGCTGGGAAGCACTGGGAAGTGGTATGTCAGTCGAAGGGCTATCGCTATTGCTCACGACACCAGTGTCACTCAAGTTACTCAGCGCTGGCTGGGGAATTCTGGGCGTGGGACTCCACCCATCTCAAACTTGCCAAGGTTGATAAAGACTTCCCTAACCATCCCTGACAGAGGGATGTGGATGGTCTGTATCAGGCCAAGGAAGCGCTGGAAGTCAGCAGCCCGTTTCAGACAGGCCATCCTTTGCAGCTTTTCCAGGCCCCCTCCTGCAGAAGGTGGGGTTAAGACCCCCGGGATGGGGGTCCAAGTGGAGAGCCTACTCTGAGGTCAAGGAAGGGTCTCTGCTCCAAAACAGCCTCCGGTTGGGCTCTTGGCCAGCAGGATAGAATTCTTGGCAAACGGGAAGAACATCGGAAGCTGTAAGGGAATCCCTTCCTCTGCTGTGAAATTATCCCTCGGGGCGTCCTTGTGGGCCTGTCTTTGGGGGGCAGACACAAAGCATCAGGCCCTCCATTGACTTCCACAATGCCTCAGAGCATGGTGGGGCTTGGGGGGGGGGGAGGGGGAGGGGGGCTCATGGGGGAGGATGCCCATCAGGGGTCGGGTGCCAGTGGTTTAAATGTGTGTGCTGTGCCAATGGAGGGCTTGGGGCCCTCTGGGCAGCGTCTCCTGTGCTACCCTTGCTGGACCCTGGAGCAAGGGCCCCTCCCCTTTGCACTTTCGGTCCAGATCTTTGCTGGTGGGGAATTCTGGGAGTTGAAGTCCACCTGTCTTAAAGATACCAAGATTGAGAGAGAGAGAGAGAGAGAGAGAGATGGGACTTGATTGTTGTAGGTTTGCCATGTCTTCAGTTTTTGGGGATGCTTTCCAAGGGTGAGGTGGCTTTGGGGGGGCCCGAAGGAACAGGAGCCCCTCCTTCTCTCCTGCTTGGCACGTCCCCCCCTCCCTTCCTAGTGGCAGCAGGCAAGGGGTTAAGCCGCCAGCAGGCTGATGTTGCCGGCTCCTGCAGGTCACCCAGACACAGTTTCCATGGAAACGGCTGGGCCATCAGCCAGCATCCTGCTGCATCCTCGTGCTTTTGGTACCCAGGACCCTTCACTCCTGTGAATAAAGCCTGGGGGGGACAGGGGGGAACGACGACAGGAGGACAGATTTCCAAACCTGCCAGCTGGGAGGGGCAGGGAGGACCACGGGAAGGGAAGGGCCCTCCTGTGTGGATGCTGAGAGAAGGGAAGGGCGCTGCATGGCCCGGTGGGGGGAGAAAGCCGGCCCAACACCAGCCACTGACTGGGGCCTCTTGTGGGGCTGATCCTTGGGGGGGCTGCCGCTGCTTCTCAGGGTCTCCATTGGTACCAGACGAGAAAGCTGACTTAAGATGTTCGGGGAGGGGGGTGGACTTTGAAACACGCTAAGCCGGAATGTTTGGTGGCTGTTCAGGCATTGTGTGTGCTTGGAATGTGGCCCTCGTGTCGTATTAACCCAGTTTCGTGCCTTGTGTGATGCCAGGGCATGGAATCAGGTGATGGGGGCAGGTTCGGTGGCCCAGAGGAGGGGTCTGACTGGGAGCGGATCCTTCGCTGCCTCTTCCTCTTTCTCCAGCCTGCCCCAAGGGTGTAGGAGCCTCAGTGGGGGGTGTCCAAGGCCTCCTTCCCTTTCTTCCTCGCCTGGGCTGGGCTCCCACCTGGCTCCGATGGGCCTGGGGGGTGCCAGACTGGCTGCTTGGCGAGGCTCGCTGTCTCCAGAGAAGGGAGCAGTGGGGACCTCTTCCCTTGCCCAGCGGCGTCTGCCATGGTGCCAAGGAGAGGTGGGGCTGAGGGGCAGCAGCATCTCTGGGGAGGGCTGAGGGGCCCTTGGCCGGCCATCCTTGCTCCTGAGGCTTTGCCAGCTGCAGGCTGGGATGCCAAAGCGTATTTCTCTGATGTCTGTCACTGGCACGGATGCCATGCGAACGAGTGGGCATGGGAGACGGATTCCGATGCTGCGGGTCTGGGCCCCAGACTCGGGTTATGGGGCAGAATCAGGGTATGGAATTGCACAAATTCAGCTTCCCCCCCCTTCCAGTGACCCCTGCTTGCCTGACTGACGTGTTCAAAGCCACTTGAGATCCAGTGTTGTTTTCCCGGTGAAGCACAAACAGATCCCAGATTTGTTTACGACAGGAACGTCCAACCTTGATAACTCCCAGATTTCCCCAGCCAGACTTCTGGGAGTTGAAGCCCACCCATCTTAAAGTTGCCAGGATAGCTGAACCCTGGACTAGGGAGTTAGTTTAGCACAGGGGTGTCAAACTCGATTTGAGGGCCGCATCAGGGTTGTGCTTGACCTCAGGGAGGGGAGGGCATGGCCAGGGTGGGTGTGGCCAGCTCGACGTCACTCGTGTCGGGGGCACCTGTGGTGGCCCGGGTGGGGCTGGGGGCATCCTCCTGCAGCCCTCTGCCAGGGAAAACGGAGCTGGGGAGGGCCGTGCGTGGTACTCCGAGGCTCTGTTTTCGCTGGCAGAGGCGCCGTGGGCCGCTCCTTTGGTATTTCCAGGGCAACCGTGGCCCAGATCTACGGTAAGTACCATGTCGGCCGGCCCGCGGGCCTTGAGATTGGCAACCCTGGTTTAGCACCCGTAGTCCAGAATGCCAACGTGGCCTCTCCCTTCCTCCCCCCTCCTGCAGTTCGGGCAAGGAGACGAGCGTGGGGAAAGTGCGCGACGTGGCCTCCTTCCGCCGGCATTTCAGGATGGGCTTCATGACCATGCCAGCCTCCCAGGAGCATGCCCCACACCCTTGTGCCAGCAGCATGGCGCCCCGCTCCCTCTCCTGCCACTCGGTGGGCAGCGTGGACAGCGGCCCCGCGGATGGGGCGGTGGGATCTCGCAAGCCACCCGCCAAGCCCAAGCGGCACCCCAGCACCAAGCTCAGCACGGAGGCCAGGAGCGCCCTGGAGCTGATGGGAAGCAAGAAAGGAGGTGAGGTGGCGCTTCGGACGCGTTTCTGGGGGGGGGATTTGAGAGAAGCCTGGCCTGCAGCCTCGGGGGCTCACCCTGAGGCTTGACTACTGTAATATGTCCTTCGTGGGGCCACCCTTGAAGACTAGCCAGAAGCTTCAACTGGTCCAGAATGCAGCGGTGTGAGCAGGAATGGGCCTGGTCCTTACACCCCTGCAACACTTCAGCTTCACAAAGTTGTGTTGGTTTCCATTTCGCTTCCAGGTGTGGTTCAGGTGCTTGGTGGTTACCTATGAAGCCCTCCACGGCAGGGGGTCGGAGGCACCTGGACAGGCCACCTGTCTCCCATAACACTTGATGTGGCAGGGTGGTAGCACTGGGGGGGGCTCCTTTGGTAAAACAAGGCCACGTATGGGCACCCCAGCAGCTCAGTGGCTGCCCTGTGGAACCAGGTTCCCCCCCCCCAAGATCCAGATGAGCCCCCCTCCACTGGCCTTTGAAGCCCTGGCTCTTTGGCCAGGATGGGCGTATCCCCTTCTTTTTATTTTTTAATTGTGTTCACTTTCTTGTTCACAGCCGTTGGGCTTTGGTGGGGGGTGAAGAAATAGGGTAGAATAAAATAAATGAATCATAGAATAATTCTAAGGGTGACTTGTTGAAACCTTCAGCAAGTATGCCGTATGCTGGGCAGGGGAGGATGGGGCTGGGCATGTCGGCCGCTTTGCAGCTGGAGGAAGGAAGATGGTGGCCACGTCCAGGTTCTCCACCAAGAGAGCAAGAAACTCAGGGGGGAAAGCAGGGGAGGGAGGAGAGCCCAGAAGGCTGGATGGGAAAGTTGCCGCTGGTCTGACTTTCTGGGGGGTCAGAATTTAGGGCCATACGGAAGTCGGGGCTGCCCTTCCCCAAGAGGCACAGAGGGACAACCAAAAGGATGAGGGGGCTGGAGGCAAGAATAGATGAAGAGCAATGGCAGGAATTGGGATGGTCTACTTTAATGAAGAGAAGGACCAGGGGGGACATGATGTCTGGGGGGCTGCCCCAAAGGAGAAGAGGGGGGTCCACCTATTCCCCAAAGCACCCGAAGGCAGGAGAAGAAGCAACAGATGGAAACGCATCAGGGAGGGAAGCAACCTGGAATTAAGGAGACACTTCCTGACAGGGAGGACAATTAACTAGTGGAAGGGCTTGTCTTCGGAAGGTGCTCCGTCACTGGAGGTTTCCAAGATGAGATTGGACAGCCATTTGTCTGAATGGTATAAAGTCTCCTGCTTGAGCAGGGGGTTGGGCTACAAGGCCTCCGAGGTCCCGTCCAGATCTGTTATCCTGTTCTGTTATTCTGAGACGGGGTCATATAAAGGTGGTCTTGGTTCTCCTCCAGCCTCCTGGCTGTGTGTGGCCCGGGGCCTTTTGCCATCCTCTCCTCCCTTTCTCCGCCAGGGTGCCCGAAGGCTGGTGGGGTGGAGAGCCGAGAGGCCGCCCGCAAGGTGCCTCCGCAGAAGCCCAAACGCAGCCCCAACACGCATCTCTCCGTGTCCTTTGACGAGACTTACTCCGGGCGCCTTCCGGGCCCCGTTGCGGGGGGCGCTCTGCAGCGCTACGGCCGTGCTGCGTCCCACGGCCAGGCCAAGGGCTCCGACGTCGAGGAGGACGAGCCGGTCTACATCGAGATGGTGGGGGACATTTTCCGGGGACCCGGGCCCCCTTCCCAAGGAGTCACCGCTGCGGACGACGACTCGGACGAGAGCGAAGCCATTTACGAAGAAATGAAGTACCCGCTGCCTGAGGAAGGGGGGGAACCCCGCCCCAACGGAGCCCTCGCCTCCCCCGGGCATCGGCCACCCAAGAAGGAGGCCGCCAAGGCAGCGCCAAGCAGCAAGACCTCCCCGTGCGAGATCCCACCCCCCTTCCCCAACCTTTTGCAGCATCGGGCCCCCCTGCTGGCCTTCCCCCAGGGCAAGAAGGGGTACAAAGGTCCCGACGGCTCCAAGCTGCCCATCCTGTGCCATGCCAAGGACACCCCCTCGGCCCCCATGACCCCCCAGGTGCCCAGCCACCACCAGCAGCGGGGGGGCGAGAACCCAGCCCTGGCGCCTTCCGGACGGGCTCGCAGCCACTCCACGCCGCTGCCTCCCCAGCCGGCCGGCCAGAGCAAGCCGGACAAGGATCTGCCCGTGTCTCACAGCATGATCTGCCCCTCTGCAAAGCCGCCCCCCACCCCGGCCCTGCCAGCAGCCTCTGCCCCCTCCGGGCTGCCAGGGAAAGACAAGCCGGCCGTCTCCTACACAATGGTCTACTCGGCGGTCAAGGTCACGACCCACACGGCGCCCTCCGAGCAAAAGGCCGAGGAGATCTCGGTGCTGCAGGGCCTGCTGTGCACCCGGCCGTCCCCCGTGCCCGCTTGCAGGCAGGTGCAGCGCATTTGCACGCTGCCCGAGCCGCCCCCTCTGGGCATGGTCTGGACTTACCCGGCTCCTTGCGCGGGGCTGAAGCGCCCCCCGGCCTACGAGAGCATCAAGAGCATGGGCACCAAGGCCTCTTCGGCCGTGAAAATCCAGCTGCGGGACCGGGCCTTCGCCAGCATCCACCAGGTGGTGGCCGGGGAGGAGTGCGGCCGGCCAGGCGGGGAGGAAGAAGCCTTTGGCTGGATGCTGCACAGGAGGGCCGGCCTCCGGAAGGGGAAGGAGCCTGACAGTAAGGGTGGGCAGGGGTCCCGGGGGGTTTGTGGGGGGAAGGACGCAGAGAGTCTGGGCCCAGGGTGGGGAAAGGGCTTCATCTTGACTGGGGCAGGGACAGAGGGCTGCTCTGTGGTCAGGAATGGGGGGTGAAGGGAGGAATTTGTGGGGAGGAGTCTTTTCCCATTTGGGGTCACAAAGGGCGTTCCCAAGGGGCTTGTTTGCTGAGGGGATTTCTGTCCTCGCACCCCGTCTTTCTGGCTGGGCACGGGTGGGGGGGCCTGAGCTGGGCATTCTGGGAGTGCCCACCCCCTCTGCCCGTTTGTTTCCTGCCCTTGCAGAGCTCCCAGACTGCCCCCAGACATGGGAGGGCAGCGAAACCGCTCAGCCCAAACTGGAGAAGGAGGAGAAAGTTGTGCCCAGCCACCCGCAGTCTGGCATCCCGGTCCGTGCGCCCCCCCTGGAGTGCCTGGCTGCCAAGATGCCCGGCGGCAGGACCAACCTGCCCATCCCCTGCCAGACCTTCCCTGCCTGTCACCGCAACGGAGGTGAGTGAGCCGTGGAGCCAGGGCAGGGGGTGGGGGGGCTTCTCGGCCAGTGGGGAGGGGCGAAGGATCCCCCGTAGGTCGCTGGCTGGTTGGGGGCTGCAGGAGGGGTCCTTAATGCAGCTGCAAAGAGGCCGCTGACCTTCAGGGGAAGGAGGAGGCACACAGCCTGCAGGCACCCAGACACAGACGGGAGCTCCTCTGTTTGCCGAGTGGGCCAGAGGGCAGCCCGTGGGAGAATTCGGCTTTATGGGGGAATGGGCTCTTGTGGGGTGGGGTGGGGTGGGGGTCAGCTGAGGGGGGGGCGTGAGGCAAAAGGACTCACAGGTCTCTTCCTTCCACCCCCTGCCCAGATTTCACTGGCGGTTACCTCCTGGGCCGCTCGGCCTCCACCTCGGGCGTCCGACAGGCTGTGACCCACACGCAGAGGCTGTGCAGCCACTCCAGGGACCCAGGCAGCCCGGTAGGTGGGGGGCAGGGGTGGGGAGGGGCCGCAGGAGGGGCTCTTAGGAGAGGAAGCCCAGGGGAGGTTTCGGTCAGAACGGAAATGGCACCCGGAGTGGAGAGCCTGCCTGCTCAGCTACATTGGACAAGCCACCGGGGGAGCGGGGGGGGGAGGCAAATTTTTTTTGCAGAACGTACGTTATTATCTCAGGGATGGAAATAATATGGAAAACCAGAACATCTGATGTGGGAACGGAAGAGGGGGGTCCATGGGGCTCTCTGACCTTGGTTGATTTTTTACAGACGTTTTATTATCCAACTAGCAAACATCATTAGTGTAATGATAATTGATGAACATCATCTGGCACTGATGATGTTTCCTAGTTGGGTCATGAAACGTCTGCAAAATAACCCACCAAAATCAGGGAGCACCAAGGACCCCTCCTGTCAACCCTGAGCCACACAGTTTCCCTCCTCCGGGAAAGAAACGAGGCAGAGAGAGAAGGAAACCCCCTCCCCAGTCCTCCCCCTTCACCTCAGGGGAACCAACTTGGCCCAAGGCTCGTCCGGTCTTCCCCACCCTGGCGCAGGGAGATCCAGACAGATCAGCAGCAATTCGGGCCTCTCCTCGGCCATCAAGCAGGCGCCTGAGGGCGCAAGGGCCAGAGGAAGGGGCATCTGCAGCCCTCAGCCGGTGGACCCAGTCTCGGGTGGGCACGTACACATAGACACACACCCCCCAATTGTTTCTGAAAGCAGCTTTTGCCGGCCGAGCTGGTTTCAGTCGCCAACCCAGAGTTTTTCCATCTCGGGAGTTCCAGCTTGTGCCTGCAGCCTTCCTGCCCCCCTGCGAGGGAGGCTCCGATGCCCGACTGCTCCGGCTCTGAAGCCAAGGAGGGGCAAAGGCCGCGCAGGGCTGGCAGAGTGTGCCAAGCGGGCTCCTAACCCCCCACCCCACCCTCTTCACAGGCCTTGCCCTACGCCCCGCTTCCCCCGCCGGAGGCACTGCAGAGCTCGCGGGAGAGGGACGGGAAGCTGCTGGAGGTGATTGAGCGCAAGCGATGCGTCTGCAAGGAGATCAAAGCGCGGCACCGGCCCGAGCGCAGCCTCTGCAAGCAGGAGAGCATGCCCATCCTGCCCAGCTGGCGGAGGAGCACGGAGAGCCGCAAGTCTGGCACGCCGCCCTGCCGCCGCCAGCAGACGGTGCTCTGGGACACGGCCATCTGAGCGGGCAGGGGCTGAGCCCCGAGAACTGGTGCCTTGTGCCGGCCGAGCCCAACTGGTGGCAGGGCTGACTGCTGGCAGTGTGTCTCCCACTGGGGACCCTCCGGAGACTGGGGGGCTGCCCCTCCCGCACGGCGGCTGGAAGGATGCCGGGCGGACACGTTTCTTTCATGGCAGGGTGAGAAGAAGCTCCACGCCAGGGGGCACCTGGGCATCAGAGGCCGGGCACACCGGAAGCACCACTGCCCGCAGCATTGGTGCCGAGCGACCGGTTCCGCAGGACCATCTCTGACCGGTCTCAGGGGGCGGGGCAGGGGGTGGGGGTGGGGCTAAGGAGTCCTTCCTCTTCTGGGCCAAAAGCTGCTGGAGTGCAGGGGGTCCAGTGCACCCACCCACCCACCCCCGGTTTTTCTTCCACCCCTGAAAATGCCCGTGGGAAAAGACGGGTGTGCCAATTTTGGAGGTGCCCCCCACTGTCCCCCCGTTCAAGGCCTGCAAATCCTTCCATTTTTAAAGACGTGCGGATCTCAAGATTTGTGGCGCCGAGTTCTTGTTCTGCCAGAACTCGGAAAGAGAGAGAGAGAAAAACAGAGAGAGAGAGAGAAAGAGAAACTGTGGATGAGAGTGGAGGAATCATTCCTGAGTCACGAAGTTCTCGACGTATGACCACAATTGAACCCAAAATTTCCATTGCTAAGCAAGACGGTTGTTAAGTTAATTTTGCCTCAGTTTACGACCTTTCTTGGCACTGTCGTTAAGGGAATCAATGCAGTTGATAAGTTACTCATTTGGTTGTTAAGTGAATCAGGCTTCCCCATGGACTTTGCTTGTCAGAAGGTCGCAAAAGGGGATCAGATGACCCCGTCATAAATAGGAGTCAGTTTGCCAAGTGTCCGAATTTTAACCGTGTGACCGTGGGGAATTCTGCAACAGTCGTAAAAAATGGCCCCCGAGTCACGTGTTTTTCAGTGCTGTTGCAACTTGGTGTGCGGTCAGTAAACAGACCGTTGTAACTCGAGGACTTCCTGTGCTCTTAAGAAAGCTCTGAAGATGCCGTTCTTAGCAAAATTCAATCCTAAATCCTAGGTCTGCGACGGAATCCTAAAACAGCATTTCCCAAACTCTCAAAGTCGGTGGAAAAGCAAAGGGGGGGGGTTGGGCGGGGGGGGGGGGGGAAGCAGTTAGCGGATAAATAACCCCCGCCCCAAAGTTCCTTCCCTTTTAGAAGGTGGACCAGCTCTTGTCATCTGGAGATGGCAATTTTCAATTTTTACTAGCCGGTTTGCTGGAACCAATGATTCCCCCCCCCCCCCCAAAAAAAGTAGAAAGTTTGAAGGGAAATAAGGAATTCTTGGGATTGGATCTGATTTTGGAGGAAAAGAGTTTGTTGCAGTTGTTAATTAGGGTTTTGTGGTTGTCGAAGAACATCAAGGTGGGTGAATTAATTCTCTGTCCTTAGCAGGAAGTTTGTGTTTCTAATTCCCGATGGGTCTTTCTCAGGTTTTGTGAACTTTTAAGATGGGTGGACTTCCACGGGGGAATTCTGGGAGTTGAAGTTCACAAACCTTGAGAAACCCCTTCGGAGGCATGACAGGAGATTGGATCCCTCTTCTGGGTTCTGGAAGACTCGGGAACTCCTGGGTTCCTAGCAGGTCAAACACAGGGTAGACCATGGTTTAAACTCGTGCCAAACCCCCATTCTATGCTCAATGTACATGCGCTCAGCCTCTCGCCCGGACCAGGGTGGGAACCCCGCTTTCTCCAGGCCCATCTTGCCCCGTCCCAGAGTCGAGGGAGGAGGGAGCCAGCCAGTTTTAGGAAGGGGGGGGAGCCTCCTCCCTCTCTGCATTTGGCATTGCTAATGGCAACCAGTCAGTGGTCTTCCATCCTTTTAGCCACTCAGCGGCCCTTCCCGGTTCATGCCACGCTCCGGGCACAGTCTCTCCACCAGCTCTGGTGCCCGCCATGCTTTGTTCGCTGTGCCACCCAGGCTGGGCGTCAGATTCAGAACAGAGCCGGAAGGGACCTCGGAGGTCTTCTAGCCCAACCCCCTGTTCGAACAGGAGACTCCAAACGATTTCACACAAGTGGCTGCCCAGTCTCTTAAGGTCTCTTATAAGTTTCCCGGCCCTTCCCCCTCCCAGTCTGGATGGTCCTTGCTTTGCGTCCAGGTGTCCCTGTTCTGAGCAAGCTGACAAAGAATCCTGTCTGCCTTGCAAGGATTTGGCCAACCTCTTTGAAGTTACCCCCCCTTCCCCTCCAATGGCTCCGGACCCCTTTAGGATTTGTCCTCCCACCCATCCCCCCTTAGCACCACCCAACGTGTCCCATTTCTGCTTCCAATTGTGGCTTGGTAAAAGCCCCAGTTTTCTGTTAGCGTCCCAAAGACTTGGCTGGACCAGTTTCGACGCTGGCGTGAATCCGTTTTACAAATTAGGATGACAAACACAGCAGCGACATTAAAAAAGATGAAAAAAAGCAAAACCCCCAAACCGAAACGGCACCACGGTGGGGCACGAGGGGAACCCAGTTGGGGACTTCTGGGTCCGACGCTCAAACCCCCCACCCCGCCCCCACCCCCCGATTTAAATATTTCACAAGATTGTCTAGTGTAGCAAGATGAAACTGCTTTGCAAAAATATTTATGCTGGGGAATTCAAGGGAGGGTATTTATATATTAAAAACTGAAGGAAAGAAAATAAAATTGTCAGGCTGGTTACTCCTCTCTGGGTTACTTTCGTTCGCTCAAGTCGCAGCTTTGCATGGGCCGGGGAATTCTGGGAGTTGAAGTCCATCCACTTTAAAGCAAGCCAGCTGGGGAATTCTGGGAGTTTAAATAGAGAAAGGTCTGCTAATACAAGTAAGGAAAGAGAGAGGAGACTTCTCCAGTTGCAGCTGAGGGGCAGCAAGGGCCAGTGGGTTAAATTATAAAAATTAATTTAAAATAAATGGATTCAGGCTGAAGAATCCTTGGGGAAGGGGGGCGGGGGAGGTTTACTGAATTCCGCACCCTGTTCCAAGCAGTGTATATACAATTAGGGTTCCTCCCTCCCCTTACCTGCTAAGAGTCTAACATCTTCAACAGAGGCCTGTGTTGAGGTGTGAGGTGCTCTGGATTGAGCTAGTGGAGTCTCAGATTTTTCCCTTCTCTTCAGTAAACTCTTCCCACCAAGAAAGTAAAACGGATTCATTCAGGCTTGCAATGGAACCCCCCCCCCAAAAAAAGGGGGATTAAGGGAGACGAGAGAAAAACAAAGCAAATTTGGGGCCCATGTTCCACCACCTGCTTATGGATGTTGTCCCTGGCCAAGAAAGACCTTGTGGATTTCCTTCTGACTCTACATGGAATGAGGCTGGTGTGCCTGTATGCCAGTGGCACGTGGCCTCCGTGTCCCAGATGGAGCGGGGCAGCCGGTGGCCCTCGGTCTCCTTGCAAGTGGCCCCCTGAAGCCATCAGCTCAGCCAACCTGGGAGGCGGAGAGGGAGAAAGCCAGGAGGAGGGGAAGTCTGTAGAGATTCTCCATCATCCAGGCCATGCTTGTCCCAAAGGTGCTTTTTCAGGAGGCAACTGGACTTTCTGTTTTTTTCTTTTGAAGACGTTTCACTTCTCATCCAAGAAGCTTCTTCAGCTCTGACTGGATGGTGGGAAAGGGAAGGATTTATATTCCTTGCAGACACAGCTGGATGCAGACATCCTTTTAAGAGGGTCCTTGGAGCACTTGGAGGTTTACCTGTGTCCTCAGGGTCACCTGAGTGGTGCTCCTGGTTCCTGTAGTCTGCATTTTTTTTTCCTCTGGAAATCCATCCCTACTCCCACACTACTCCAAGGGTCTTCATCCCAAACTGCATAGCTAAAAGTCTGTAGAAGGAAAGGAAAAAGTGGACATCTAAGGTGGCCTGGCCACTTTGGATGCCACCTGGCCCCATATCCCTGCAGATTACCCCCAGGGAAATGTGGGTCATCCTGGAGAAAATTCCTCCGGCTTCTACATCGTTGAGGCCAAGGGGGGCTTGAAGAAGGTCCGGGGGAGGCCAGGGGCTCTTGCTAGCCACGTACACCGATGCACCACGGAAGGTTGAAGGACCTGGGACTGAGCAGGGGGTGGGGCTGACCCTGCCAAGGCTTTCCTGCTGATCCCTCTTCCCGATCCCAGCACATCCTTTCTCTTCACAGTCACATTTGTGGTGCTTTGCAAAAAAAAAAAAAAAAAAAATTGCTACACACCAGAGCGCAAAACACCACAAACAAAAGCTGTCTGGCTTTGTGAGCCAAGCGGCACCAGGCTGGCTGCGAAAGCTGCACATGAAAGGACACCTGGTGGATTCCGCCCCCCAGGATCTTTGGTGGGGGGGGGGGGGGTTTTTTTTTTTTTTTTTTTTTACCCATGCATCGTGGAAAGAACTCCAACGTGCGGCCGGTATTTTTAGAGCCCAGACGCTGCACGATGAAACCGTATTTCTACAGCACAAGTGGGAAACTATGGCCCTTTTATGACTTGTGGACTTCAACACCCAGAATTCCTGAGCTGGCTGGCCCAGGAATTCTGGGAGTTGAAGTCCACAAGTGATAAAAGAGCCATAGCTCCCTCCTCCCCTCGTTCTATAGCTTAGTGGATGCTCGGATTGGTGGGTTTTAATCAGCACTAACCTAGGCCTAGGCCCCCTCCCTTATCCCCAGTCAGGGTCTGTCGGAGCCTCCTGCAAGGCCTGGGGGGTGGCAACCAGACTTAAAGGACACCAAGGATGACTTGTTCCCCTTCTCAAGGGTCCTTCCAGTGCAGGTCATCTCAGAGGGAATTTAAGCTTGGGGTGGGGGGAACCTGCTTTGCTCCTTCCAGCCACTGAGGGTCATTCACCTTTTGTTAGCAACGGGTCAGGATTCTCCTATGGTGCCCAAGAGCCCCACCCCCTTCTCTCCCTCTCCCTTATCCCTCTCTGTCTCTTTTCTCTCTCTTCTCTCTTGTTTTTTTTATCCCTTTCTCTTACTCTCTTATTTCTTATCCCTCTCTCTCTTGTGCCTCCCTCTTATCTCCCTCTCTTCTCACTCTTTCTTTTATCCCTTTCTCTTATCCCTTTCTCTCTCTTATCCCTCTCTCTCTCTCACTTATTTCTCCCTTGAATCTCTTTTTTATCCCTCTCTGTTGCTCTCTTATCCCTCTCTCTTCTCTGTCTCTCTTCACTTATCCCTCTCGGTCTTATCCCTCTTTCTCTCTCTCTCCTTCTCTCCCCAACCCTGCCAGACCCAGTTATGGGGCTACAGAGCTGTGGCAGAGAGCAGCTGTTTGGATAGAGTTCTCCTGTCTGACAGGGAATCCCCTTGTGTCAGAGGTTGGTGGCGAAAGGGAAGGGGGAGAGGTTCTGTAGTGCTTCCCCCCCCCCGTTAAAGCCTTTTGCCCTGTGTTCAGCACCCTTCCCTAAGAGCCCCAGGACAGGTGTGTTGGTGCCCCTCTGCCAGTTTTCTGGGCCAAAAGCACTGGAGCACCTGGTCCTCTGGCGCCCCCTAAAGTCTGCTTCCTCCCCACGTTCTGCCTGCCACCCCCATCAATGAAGCATCGCTAGGCAGAAGCAGCCAGCGTCTCCCCATCTGAAAACGACCGTCTCCCCCCTGAGACGGGGGTGCTGCTGGGCCTAATCTGTGGGGACATTTCAACACCAACAGCCCTCCAAAAGAGAGGGTTTTTTTTCCAAAGGCTACCTTCAGAGGAATGTGACTTACGTTGGGCCTCCCCCGTTCTCTAGGGTCCTCTATGGGAGAGGGGGGAAAACTCCGTCACTCCCCACAAAAGAAGGGAAGGGCCCTTTGAGCTGCCACCCCCAGCGCTGTTGAGCAGGCCCCATCTGGGAAAAGAAATTGGGGAGGGGGGAATGGTTTGTGGTCCAGGAAAGATGCTTTGAGCAGATCTGCCTCTCTCCCCCCCCCCACTTCTCTTGGCATGGGTGAACACGAATGGGGGAGGGAATGGCTCCTCTGGTGCCAGTCTTAAAAGCCCCCCCCAAGGACCCCATCTGTGGGAAAATGATGGCAGAATGGCTCCCTTTGTGCCAGGCCTTTAAGAGCCAACAGCAGACGGTTCTGTGCCACTAGCTGGCATCTAAGGACGCCTGGCCCAACCCAGCCTCTCCTCCCCCTGTTCTCTGCCAGACAGACCCCGTCTGGCTTCTTTCTCAAGCCTTGCAGGCTCCGTCCAGCTGGCATCTTTTTCAGCAGTGTCTTGTCCTGGAGGTCACACACACACACCCCAGGCTGCCAGATCCCATGCCACCCACTGGATGCCGGTGCTTCAGCTGTGAATATGCCAAAGGGCATAAGCTCCTTCGGCTGGGAGGGAAACAGCCTGGTCCCTGCCAGCTGTCTTGCTCTCCCTTCTGGAATTCTGGGAGCTGAAGTCCACAGGTCTTAAAGGGGCCATACTCCTGCTCCAGAGTTTACTGCTTTTGGGTGGGTGGGCAGATTAGCAGACTATGTTTGCTCCAGAAGGACCTAGCCCAACACCTGGCTGGCAAGGTAAAGTTTATAACCCATCAGGAAGGCATCAACCTCTCCGTTGTCCCTGCCCGACAGCTGACATTGGCCATTTGCAAGCTTGAAGGGTTTTGTGCAAAAGTACTAACAAAATAAAAGAGTTGGAAGGGACCTTGGAGATCTTCTAGTCCAGCCTCCTACTCAAGCATGAAATCCTGTACCACTTTCAACAAATTGCTGTCCAATCTCTTCTTAAAAGCCTCCAATGATGGAGCACCCATAATTTCTGGAGGCAAGATGTTCTACTGGTTAATTGTTCTCACTGTCAGGAAATTTCTCCTTAGTTCTAGGTTGCTTCTCTCCATATATTGCTTCTTCTCTTGTCTTCAGATGCTTTGGAGAATAGGTGGACCCCCCTCTTCTTTGTGGTAGCCCCTCAAATATTGGAAGAATGCTATCATGTCACCCTGGTCCTACTTTTCATTAAACTGAATATACCCAATCTCTACAACCGTTCTTCATATGTTTTAGCCTCCAGCCCCCTAATCATCTTTGTTGCTCTTCTCTGCACTTTTTTCTAGAGGCTCCACATCTTTTTTGTATCATGGCGACCGAAACTGGACGTAATATTCCAGGTGTGGTCTTACCAAAGCATTATAAAGTGGTTCCTCCGTTGGTCATGATATCCAAGATGGGGACCCAGAGGTGCTTTTTCAATGGGACTTTCTTGTTTTTCTTTGAAGACATTTTGCTTCTCATCCAAGAAAAATTGCAGATCCCAGGAACCATTTGCACTTCAGTTTGAGATGCAGACAGCACAGGCTCATCCCCAACAGCCTGAGCCTGTCTTCAACGGTGAAGGGACCCAGGGCAGAAAACACCCTGTAGAAAGCACAGCTCCACAACACAAGTCCTTTCAGCAGTTCCAAGAAGGCTGCCACCCATTTGCACCACTCAGGTGACCCTGAGGACACAGGTAAACTCCAATTGGCCTCAACGACCCTAAAAAAGGATGCAAATGTCCAGCTGCCTGCAAGGAGTATAAATCCTTCCATTCTCCACCATCAAGTCAGAGCTGAAGAAGCTTCTTGGATGAGAAGCAAAACATCTTCAAAAGAAAAAAAACAAGAAAGCCCAGTTGCCTCTTGAGGACAACCATGACCTGGATGACGGAGAATCTCCAGAGACACCAAGATGGGGACCTTCAAATGAGACTTGCAGGTAGAGAGCATCTTCCCAGGGCTCAAAATCTGCGCCTGTGCTTCAGCTGAGCCGCCTGCCAGCTGCAGAAGCCGGGCACGTGATAAGATTTGCTCAAAATTCAAAGCTGCCAATTTGGTAGAGGAAAGAGCAGCCCGGTGGGCTACCAGTGGCCTTCGGGTAACAGACTTGGAGCCAGAGGAATATCTTTTCCTGAAAGGGACAGGCGTTCTCTGTTTTGGAAACACCTGGGGCTGGGGGGTGGGTGGGAATAAGCTCTACCAAGTTTGCAATATACTCCATCACCTCGTGCGGAGACTTTAGTTCCAGCTGACATTTACAGAACTGTTGCACCATCTTTCTGGGAAAAGCCTCAACTGAGAATTGCAGGAGGGCGTTTTGCTCAAGTGTCACTTGGTTGAGGGAAGCCTGGACCCATTATAGTCCTCGATGCACTTCCATAATTTGAAGCTCACGGTCAACAAGCTAAGGAAAAGTTGGGACCTAATGGGACAATGTGAAAAAATGGTGCAGCTGTGGGATTCTCCGTCTGTGGGGGAGCATGCCTTCCAAACTCTTTGCAGTTTCTTGGCAAGGTTTTCAGAAGTGGTTGGTCGTTGCCTCCTTCCTGAGGCCGCCAGGAAAGAAAGATTACATTTCTCCACTGTCCGTATTAATTCTAGTACAGGTAGTCCTCCACGTACAACCACCATTGAGCCCAAAATTTCTGTCACTAAGCGAGGCACTTAGTTTTGCCCCATTATATGAATTCTTGCCAGAGTTGTTAAGTAAATCACCGCAATGGTTGTTGGTAACGCGGTTCTTAAGTGAATCTGGCTTTTGCATTGACTTTGATCGCAAAAGGGGATCACATGATGGTGGGACATGGCGATCGTCATAAATATGAGTCAGTTGACAAGCGTCTGGATTTTGATCACGTGACCATGGGGATGCTGCAACCGTCATAAGTGTGAAAAATGGCCATAAGTCACTGTTTTCAGTGCCGTTGTAATTTCAAATGGTCAGTAAATGAACTTGCTTTAAGAGTTGTTGAGAACTACCTGTCGTTCCCTTTTTTATAGCTTGGCGTTATGTTCTGGGCACCGTCCTGCACTCCATGGGAGAACTCGCATCCATGTTTTATAACCCTTTCCGGGGCCAGGAAATTCTTGGCTTTTGAGGGGTCTCCTGCCCATGGCTTGGCTGCCTTCCGTGCAACTACGGTGTGCATTGATAGCTCCCCTCTGCAAGGCTGTCTGCTCTGGCACTCAAGAAACGCTCTGTAAATTGGCATTATTAATGTAACCACAATTGTGTTTCACTTTCTCCTGAGTTCCTGTTCAAAATTCTGTCTTTTGACATGGTTCTAGTACCTGTAACTTAGCAGTGTCCAAGTTCTAGGCCATGTGTGTCCAACCTTGGCATCTTTTAAGACCTGTGGACTTCAACTCCCAGAATTCCCCAGCCAGCATGAATTCTGGGAGTAGAAGTCCACAAGTCACCCAACTCCAAAATACAAAACGGGGTGGGATGGGGGTGGGGGAGAGAATGAAGATTTTTTTTCCCCACAGAAAGGATCAAACTGGATTGGAGAACATCCCAAAAGGGTTTAATGGGCACTGGACTCAGAGAAGGCATTGTGCCTATTGCATAGATGGGGGGGAAGGAAGACTTATGAAAACTTGATGCATAAATTAATGAATAAACAACCAATCTGGGAAAGACACGACTGGGATGTGTATGAACACCCTGCTAAGAAGGTGCCAGCACGATCAGGCGCAGTCAGGGTGGCCGGACACCTCCTCCCCTCCTCCTCCCTCACTCGCACTACAGCTGTGAATTCCCACCAGTTTTGGGGGCTGCAAGGTTTATTTACAGCAAGGGTGTGAATCGTCAGCCCTTCACTCCCGCCTCCGTCTCCTGGGTTGGCAGAACCCTGCAAGCAGCCTGGCTCCTGCATTGGAAGGAAGGAAAGCACCTCCGATGATTTCAGACTGTCAACGGTTCCAAGACTGTCCCGAAGCCAAAATCTTTCCAACAGCCCAGGGCACAACGGGTGCCTGCCCAAATATTAGCTTTGCATCACAAGGCTTTTTGGCAACAGCGAGAAGGGTCGTAGTACAGTCAGAATAACCCCCTTGTCCAACCCCCTTCTCAAGCAGGAGTTCCTATGCCATTTCAGACAAATGGCTGCCCATTTTCTCTTCTTAAAAGCCTCCAGTCATGGAGCACCCACAACTTTTGGAGGCAAATCCTTCCACTGGTTCTGTCAAGAAATTCCTCCTTATTTCTAGGATGCTTCTCTCCTTGATTAGTTTCCATCTGTTGCTTCTTGTCCTGCCTTCAGGGGCTTTGGGGAGCGGGTGGACCCCCTCTTCTCTGTGGCAGCCCCTCAGATATTGGAAGACTGCTACTGTGTCACCCCCTACAGTCTTTCCAATGCAGGCTTGCTTGTTCTGCTAGAGCCAGAAACTTTATTTTGGTTCTTGACCGGTCAAAGAACAACTGATGAAACAAAGCACAGAAAATAATCCCCTAACAAGAACTATAAGAAGCTATTTGTGGGCGAAGCAAAATTGGCTGTTTTTAGAGACATTTATCTTGATTTAAACTGGAAGTTGGAATGCCCCAGGAATTTAAATGCATAAAAGTTTAAATAAAAGAAGGATAATCGACTGGTGACGAATATCTCTGTGTAACTGCCAATAGGAACATTCATTTCTGATTATTTTAATGTTATTATGCTGTAAGCCGCCAGTCACGTCAAAACAAGATGGGTGGCAAAAAAAATTAATTAATTATTAATTAATTACAGAACATGATGCAGGCATGTGTGAATTTGCAATCTGTTCACTTGCAAAATGAGTGTATTTATTTATTTCTTTAGCTGCCCATTTCAAGCGAGCAACTCTGGGCAGTGAACAATCCAAAACAATTATAATACAAATTAAATGTATATGTATATGCATGGTAGATGCGTTAAAGATGCTGTGGTTAGATGTCAATCCAGCAAGGTCCGCCAGGCCTTGTGAAAGGCAGTTGGGTCGGGGTCCTCCACAATCCTGAGGGCCGAATGCCCCAGAGGGGCTATGCCATAGAAGGTGCCCCTCCAAGTACCCACCAGCCGACCTGCCTTGGCATGCCCACCCTGCCAGCTTCTTCTCTGGCCCCTGCTCTCTGGGAGGAGGCCTAATGCCTTCTGGACCTGGAAGCTGAGGACAGGGCACCCACTTGGGAAAAGCTTCCTGGGCATCTGAGGGTGCGGGCAGTGCCCACTTCGCTGCCCGTTGGGGGGCTTTGGGGGTTTCTTGCTGGGTGCAGGAGGCTACCCAGATTTTTGTACTGTGTGGCTGGTTTGGAGGAGGCCCCCACTGATGCTTCTCAACCGTGTCAAATTTAAGAGAGGTTGGACTTCAACTCCCAGAATTCCTCAACCAGGGGAATTCTGGGAGTTGAAGTCCACCCCTCTTAAACTTCCTAACGGCCTCTGTTCCGCTTGGCAAAGTCAGCCTAGGCAAGGATTAGAGAGAGACTAGATCCCTGTTCCAAGCAGACACCTGATGGATCCCTGTCCCGGGGAGAGATTTAATCATTCGCACGCAAGAGATCTTGGCTCTTCGCCAGTGGTGCGCATGCGCCTCAAGGGCACCACCCCGGGGCAGGCTGAGCACGCCGACCGCTTCTGCGCAGGCGCGTTCAGGCCACACCCTCCGCACGACCGTTAGGCTAACGGTGCGCGCGAGCTGGTCTGCGAGGCGAGCATGCGCCGCCAGAGGTGGGCGGTGCCCGGCGCATGCGCGGAGGCGGCGTCCGGGGGCAGCCGGGGGCTCAGGTGCGCCCGGATGGCGGCGACGGGCGGCGGCGGCGGCTCCGCGTCCGGGTCGAGGAAGCCGGGCTCCCCGCGGGACTCGGAGTCGGAGGTGTGGTCCCGCCGCGTGCGGGAGCTGGTGAGCGCGGAGCCGGCCAGCCGCCTGTGCTTCGAGTGCGGGCAGCGCGGCGTCACCTACGTGGACATCACCATCGGCAGCTTCGTCTGCACCGCCTGCTCGGGGGCGCTGTGAGTCCGGGGGGGGCGCCCCACGACCCCCCTCCCTCCTCGGGGGGAGGCTCCCCTCGCCCGGTGGGCCTGGGAGGGGAGGGCGGCTTTCCAGGGAGGTGAAAGGGGAGCCCTGCCCCCCCGCCCCCTTTTAGGCGGGGGAGGGGCAGCACACCTGGCACCTGCAGGGTGCAAACGTTACCTACCTCCCTGCAGGTATTTTCTACCAGGAAGAGCAGAGTTTCAACCTTGGACGCTTGGAGAGGGGTGGACTACAACTCCCAGGATGCTGGCTGTGGAATTCTGGGCTTTGAAGTCCACACCTCTGCAAGTGGCCAAGGTTGAGCAGCCCTGGCCTCTGGGTTGTTTTGCATCCCCCCCATTCAAGGTCAGCCCCACAAGGGATCAGAGAGATCCATATCGGGTCACTTCACTGGGGAATTCTGGGAGTTGAAGTCCACCCATCAGACGGGGAAAGACCGACTCAAAAGGAAATGTCCTACTTGCTGCCGCTGTCCTCCCACCCTGCTGGTTGCCCTTGGGCTGGCAGCCCCTGGCCCGCTGCCTCCCGTTGATGCCAGCTCTTCCAATGCAGGGAGTTTCAGTTCTGCATTTGGCTCCTTGGTCCTGCAGCCTGTTGCAACCCTCAGTGGCCGATCCTGCCTCAGATAGGAATTCAGATATGAGCTACCAGCAGCTCTGGGGCAAGGACAGGAGGCATTTTTTATGTCCAGGCACTCCCTTAATTCAATCTTGGCAGATGGAAACTGCAACGATGGGAGCGGACATAATTTGTGCCCTGTCTTAACATACTGTGGGTAGATCGCAGATAATAACATGAAACAGAAGCTTGGAAAGCACAAATGAGATCTAAAAAGACCATTCACACAACACCTTTGACCTGTTTCTGAAAAATAAGGGTTGGGGAACTGGAAAGTTGTATTGTCTGCTCACAACACACAAAGTCTATGAAGAGGGACCTTGACATCTGGGAGGGATGCCATGAAAACAAGCAGCTTGAACTTGGAGGAAGAAAAGGCGAAGGTGTGTGGAGCATCCAGGAACGTTTCTGTGTTGAAAATGGGCTGTAAACTGGCTCGTCTCTGCCATACGGCCTGAGGGGGAATCACCCGTGGAGGCCTGTTTTAGAGGGAGACGTGGCCCTAATGTAACAGGGCATCTCAAGGGAATAGGAATGCTCAACTGTAGGAGCTTGGAGTCCTCGAGGTGTGGGTGGATTTGGGGCAAGCGAGGCCTGTATTCATTTTCCTTCACAAAGACCATCTACGGCAGGGGGCTCCAGTCTTGGCAACCTTGAGACTTGTGGACTTCAATTCCCGGAATTCCCCAGCCAGCTGTGGATGTGTCCGATTTGTGGGAACACAAAGATTTAGGACACAGATCTGCCCCTCCTCCGAAACCATGTTGAGCCGGGTCCCTCCCCGAGTCACTTCACCTCCCCTCTTTGAAGGCCGGTCCGAGAGCTTCACTGCTGGTCCTTTTAATCATTAACTGCCATCGGCCGAAGAAGAATCAGCAGGTCAGAAGAGTGGAAACTTGGCTACCACTGAGCCAGGAAGAGCCTGCGGGCGGGAACTGAGCGCTGCTTGGCCCCGTTCTGCCAAGACCCGAATCTCTGGGCTCAGGAGGGAGGGAGGGGAGGTGGGTCCTGACCAAGATTCAGCCCTTGACTCAGCCCTGTCCCCTAAGGCGCATCCGGCTCCTCTAAGAGAAGGACCAGGGGTGCTAGGATAGCAGTCTTCCAATATTTGAGGGGCTGCCACAGAGAAGAGGGGCCCCACTTGTCTGCGGAGATCCTCGGCCATCCAGGTCCCAAAGGCAACTGGATTTGGTTTTTCCTTGAAGACGTTTGGCTTCTTGTTCAGGAAAGCTGCTTCAGTTCAGAACCAAAGTCCTGTTGCCTTTGGAAAAAGCCCCAGGGGATCCACCTCTCCTCCAAGCACCTGAAGGCAGGATGAAACAATGGAGAGAAGCAACCTGGAACTCCTGACAGTGAGGACAATTAACCAGTAGGACTACTTGCCACCAGAAGTTGTGGGTGCTCCATCACTGGAGGTTTTTAAGGGGAGACTGGACAGCCACTCGTCTCAAATTGTACAGGGTCTCTTTCTTGAGCAGGGGGTTGGACTAGAAGACCTCCGAGGTCCTTTCCAGCTCCGTTATTGTGTTACCTGTACATTACTGTAACTTGTGAATGCTTTTCTCTCCCCCCATGTAGCCGTGGCCTGAATCCCCCTCACAGGGTGAAGTCCATCTCCATGACCACCTTCACAGAGGCCGAGGTCCAGTTCCTCCAGTCCCGTGGAAACGAAGTGAGTGGGGGGGGGTCTCGGATGCTTTACCTTTGGCCATCTACTGTTGAACAGGCAGGCTTTGATTCCGGCCACACCCCGCGCCCAGCCCAGAATTGTCTGCCTACAAGCTCTGGGCGTCATATAAATTTATGAAGTCATTTCAGCCCCGAGGCATGTTAAGCTGGGTGTGAGGATATAAAATGCTGGAAGCAGATTTGCCCTTTAAGAAGGCTCGCAAAAGGAACCAGCCCTCGTTTGCCACAGGTGGGGAGAGGCCACGTCCCTCGTGGGGCTCTGCTTCTCGGTCCCACCCTTTTATTAGACGAGCTGGCTTCCTAGAAGACCGGTGGAGTCCTGATTTGGAGTCCCAAAGGAGCTTTTTCCAAAAGGCAACCAGCCCCCCTGGACTCTTCCTTAAGGAAGTCTGGCTGCCTTCCTTTGGGGAAAGACCCACCTTTGGGGGTGGAGAATCTGCTCAGGCATCGTGATTTGCAGCTGTTTCCTCTCCTTCGGATCCCCTCCCCAGGCCTGCCGGAAGATCTGGTTGGGGTCTTTCGACTCGCGGTCGTCCCTGCTGCCAGATTCTCAAGACCCTCAGAAAGTGAAGGAGTTTCTGCAGGAGAAATACGAGAAGAAGCGATGGTGAGAAGGGTGGGTGGGAGGGACTCTGGATTCCGCCTGTGGGATCTGCGGTCCTGATTGGTGCAGCTGGGTGATCCCTTCCATCCGGGCGTGCAGCTGGCGATAGATATGTGGGGCTCCCTCGGAACAAAAGCCATCAATTCAGATGCTCCATTGCAGGTTTTCCTTTGGCTGGCTTCCAGCAGAGCAAACTTCGATAAAGCTTGGCTGTTCCATCCATAAAAACAAGTCCTTTCCTCTCCCTTTTTTTTTTTCATCCCAGGGGCACCAGAGTTAGGCGGATTGCTAGTCCTCTTTATTTTCTACCAACCAGCCAACGTGCACAAAAATTAACCAAAGGGATTATTTAAAAAAAAAAAAGCATGAACAGCAAATCCAATAAGAACCAGTAGGATACAGCTTGGCTGCCCCCATTGAAAGGACAGCTACCTGAGATTTGAACGCGTAGTAAAACTCCCGGGGCTTGTACAAATTGAGGGAGTCTCGAAGATTAAAAAAACGAACTATGCCTGGAGACTAAAACATACGAAGAACAGTTGCAGGAATTCGGCCTCTCTTAAATCTAAAAAAAGGGACTAGGGGGCCCACGATATTCCAGGATTTATGGGGCTTCTGTCCCATGGGATAAACTCACCAAGAGGGAGGGGGAGAGTCAAGGCAGCCCCCCTCGAGGCTCACTTGTCTCCTGATCTTTCTCGCAGGTATGTGTCGCCTGACCAAGCCAAAAGCCTGGCCACGCCCAGTGCCCAGGGCTCCCCTGCAGAAGCCAAGATGGGCGCCAAGGCCCCCCAGGTCAGAGCTCCTGGCTAAGGAGTGGGGGGTGGGCTCCGCTGGGCCCTTCCACCCAGACACCTGGCATGCAGGCTCCCCTGGGGGCCCAGTTCAACCAAGGGCCCCTGCCAGCTTGGGCCTAGTGAAGCTGGCACATGATTCAGAGGCTGGCCTTGTGCCACTCGCACCGGGGGCTCCATCCTTGGCTGCAGGCTAGCATTGCTCCCGAGGCCCCCCCCCCCCCGGTGCTCTATCAGAGGGGGCTCCTGCCTGTCAGGCCCCCGTGGCACTTTGGGGAAAGTGGGTGGCAGCATTTGAGCCTTTGTGGGAGGGCTCCCCCACAACTGCCCCCTCCCCGGCCTCTGCTCCTGTATTCAGCTCCGCAGCCTTTGACACTTGAGGGCTCGAAGTGTCCTCGTTTCCCCCATAGACCCTGCCCCTGCCTCATTCCCCAAGGGGAAGCAGCTGGCCTCATGCCATCCAGAGGGTGGGGCAGCTACTCCCAGGTGTGGGGGGGGGGCTTTCTGCTTCTCAGTGGCCCCTTTTCTTGCAGGTGTCAGAGAAGGCCCCAGCACTGCCTGCCCAGCCGGCCAAGAAGGCCAGCACAGACCTCCTGGCGGACATAGGGGGGGACCCCTTTGCAGCCCCCCCACCCAGGCCTGCCTTCTCTGCCTTTGGAGGTGAGTCCCTCTGGCGGGGACTCGAAAGGGGGCCGGGCTGCAGGGGCTCTCTTCGTGCGGGTGGGGGTCTCCCTACTGAGCATGGGGGAGCCACAGGCTATTGGGGAGGAAGACCTGGGCGGTCTCAAAAGGGAGAGGGGCTCCGCCTGGGGCTGGGGGCTAGTAGGGTAGTGGCTGAGCATGTAGGAAAGTCAGGAAGGCTGGCAGGGTGGACTGGCATGAAACGGCATCGGATTCACGCCACCGTCCTGGTTTCAGGCTTCCAGTGTAGCTGGAGTAATCCCCCCCCCCCAAAGGCAACACCTGTGCTTGGTCACCATAATGCCTCGGGGGTGGGGAGGGGATCTGTGGTCCTTGAGGCTGAACAAGGCTTTCTGTCTCCCCCTCCCCCACTCCCCATTTGTGCCCTCAGGCCCAGGAGCAGCTCACCCCGCCTTCCCCAGCTTCGATGCCTTTGCGGGAGGCCCATCAGTGTCGACTTTTGGGGACCCCTTGGCCTCCAGCCAGAGCCCTTTCCAGGGTCACCCGATCACTGCAGGTAACCTCAACCCCCGCCCCCTGCCCTCAGGCCCTGAGAGAGACCCTCCGATGGGGTTGGGGTGATCCCCGAGTCTGATTCCGATCGCCGGGATCTCTGCCTTCTCAGCCATTCCTGGGAGCCTCATCGGGGGCGGGGGGTGGTCTTGGTTAACTGGGGGGGGGGGGTTTGCGGGGGGCACCCTGCGCTTGCCTGCTGTGAAGGAGAGAAAAGGGGGGGGCTCTTTGCCAAACTACTTATGGAAGCGTTTGTACTGAAAGTTAGAATCGGGGGTGTGTGTGTGTGTCACGTGCAGTGAGCTACAGGGGTCTTTGGGGCTGTCCTGCCAGCGAAGGTCCCCCTGTCCGCTACCCTTCTTCTTCCTTTCCCTGCAGGTGGTGCCCACATGGGAGCCTTCCCCGCCTCCCCTGCCAGCCAGCCCGGGATGGGCATCTCGAGCCTGGGCGGAGCCTTCCGCGTGGGAGGGGTGCCAAGCAGGTAGCTCCTCTCCCGCTGGTGCCCATGTGGTCCCCACCCTCGGCTGCCCCCAGGGCCGAGCAAGGGCTCGTCCGTGGAGCAGCCTTTCCTTCAGCTGAACCGCCGTTTCCTTTGGCAGCGTCTTCGGACCCCTCAGCCAGTCCCCCGTTCTGCCCCCCTCCAGCCCCGCGGCGGTCTTTGGGGGTAAGTAGGGCTCCTTGGTGGTTCAGGCACGAGGGACCCCGGGCACCTTCAGGAGCTGACGGGGGATGCCCTTCTCTCCCTCTCTCTCTCTCTCACACACAGTCCCCACCTGCACTAACCCCTTTGCCAGCCCGGTGGTCTCCCAGCCCACGCTTCCGTCCACCAACCCCTTCCAGACCAACGGCTTCACCCAAGGTAAGCCTTCCCTGCATTTCACTGGGACTGGCCACGCTCCCGTATCGGGACCCCTTGCCAGCCGAGGGGCCCCGGAGCCCCCTTTCTCCAGTGGTTAGTTCAGTGCCACGGTCTTGGTGGGCCCAGTCGTGCTTCGGGCACCTTCAGGGGCTGAAGAGGGATACACCAGAAGCCACGGATGGAAACTGACCAAGGAGAGAAGCAACCTGGAACCAAGGAGAAACTTCCTGACAGTGAGGACAATTAACCAGTGGAACTGCCTGCCACCAGAGGTTGTGGGTGCTCCCTCCCTGGAGGCTTTTCAGAAGAGATTGGACGGAATGGGGAAGACCTCCAAGGCCCCCTCCAACCCTGTTCCTCCACATGCCCTCACTCTGGACCCTCTTCTGGCAGGCACCTTCATGGTCGGGTCCCCCAGCAGCTTCTCGGCCTCTCCCCTCTCCGCCACTTTCGCTTCCCCGCTGCAGCAGGAGCCGCTGTTCTTCCCCACACAAGGAGTCGTGGGTCAGCAGCACAATGGGGGTAAGAGAGGGAGCCAGCCCCCCAGGTGGGCAGAAGGGCTGTGGGGCCACTTCCCTCCCGTGACCCCCCTTCTTGGCTTCAGGGTCGCCCTTCAGTGGGTTTCCTGCCGCCCGAGATGGACAGAGGCCACTTGGACTCCCTGCCGGCTACTCCACCAACCCTTTTGTGGTAAGGGGGACCGGCCTACCTCCCCTCCCCCCCGGCTGTTTGGGTCCTTGGGGGAGGGAGGCTTCTGGGGAGGGGTCAGAGATCAGCTGGGAGGATCCCTCACCCTCTTCCTGTCTCTCCCGCAGAACCCGATGGCCGCAGCACCTTCGCCTCCCTTCGCCCAGGCAAAGCATCCCCCCACCAACCCTTTCTCCTAGCACCCTCCGGCCTCCAGAGCGGATGGAGACCCTCAGCTGGGGGGGGGGGGGCTCACATCTGCACAGCAGGGCCTCTGTCCCCAGGAATGACAGGGCCCCTGCCTCGGAGGAACGGGTCACGTGGGCAGCCGGGGCCCGAGCAGAGGGCAGGAGGGGAGGGTTGGCAGCCAAGGCCAAAGACACCTTGTGGAGGGCTGGAGGGCCCCCCCCCCCCCCGGAATCGCCCCCCCCCCCCCCCCCCCCAGCCCAGAGCCTGCCGAAGGGGCCCCTGAGGTGGGTCTCCAGCAGCTTCTTGGCTTGGGGCCCCTCCCACCCTGGGGACTCCCAGGAGGCCCTGCAGTTTCAACTGGGGGGGTCGTCAGTGCAATTGGCCTAATCTGTGTGCAATCTGGTGCCACTTCTCTCTTCGGCCTGTCCCGTTTCCCACTCGCCTGCCCCCCCCTTCCCACTGCCCACCAGGCAGCGTCTGGTCAGGGGAAGGTTAGCAGGGGGAGAAGGCCAGAGACCCCTCAACTGCCCCTCCTCCCTCTCGCCTTTTTCTTGCACTAAACCTGGGGGGGGGTCAGTCAGGGATGCTTCAGCTAGTGAGCCTCCGTGAGGGAGCTTTGTGCCCCCCATCAGCCATGGCCCCTGAGGGACCCTGGAGAGAGAGAAGCGGGAACCCCCTCCCAGCACTGCAGAGAAGCTTTGTAGCACTAGGAGCTGCCCCCTCCCGCCGATGTCCTTTTCAGAGGGGAGGGTCTCCTGTCATGTGCCATATGGTTTGGAGCCTTTTGGGAGGGGGGGCTGGGCAGTCAACCTCCCCCCCCCCCCCCGCGGCCCCCCGGTGGGGGGCCCCCCCCCGCCCCTGGGGGGACGGGCCTTTGGGGGGGGGAACTCTCCCCCAGAGTCTGCCCCCTCCCCCCTCACAAAGTCTTCCACCCCCAACCCCCCTCCCTTGTCAATCAGTGCCTGCTGAGTCATGTCCACAAGTGACACTTCTGCTTTCGGAAGCCGCCTCCCCCCCCCCCCATCCCCAT